CATCTATGCATTCTTCATGGGAACACATGTAATTCAAACCACCCTTGATCTGGAGTAGCTTTCCAGGCAATGCAGAATACCTCCTCTTCACTTTCTGTTAGTTACTTTCTTTGTCTTTAGTTTGGGTTTGAATTCAGTGAAATTCATCTTCCTCTTGCAGTGTGATCCAATGGATCTGTCCCTCTCCTGCTGCAGAGTGTTCCGGACAGATCTATCAATTAAGACTACTGCGGTTCTTCACTTTGCATGGAGAAGCTTTTAGATGAGGTCTGCTTGTGACAGGTGAGACAACTCAGATGATTGCCCTGCTGCTGAAGCAGAAGGAGCACAAAGGCCTTGAGATGAAGAGTTAAGTTCTATAAGTAGAAACAGAGGAGTCTGGGGCCGAGGAGCCTGAGATGGTGGAGCCTGAGGCAGAGGTTCAGGTTGTGAGGCAGAGGTGGAGTGCTGTGGTGGGCATGGACGGTCAGAGGCACGTGAGGGGGCATATTCCTGGTTGGAGAAATATCCCTGTTTAAAGGCCAGATCCCTGAGTACCTGGAGTCTGCCTGGGCATTTGTGGCGGCATCCTTCACTATTCCGGGGAGGTCATAGAGGCTCATGGTGTGCCCAGGATGTGTCTTCATCCACTTGTCCTGGAAATGGCTGATGTATTTCCTCAGTGGGCCATAAACACTGCGGTCCAGAGACTAAAGTTCATGTGAACAATGAGGATGGAAAGATAAGAGCACGATGCCAGGTCTCTTACAAAGTCAATCCCCTCCACAGACAGATGCGAGGCACGGTTTTCCAGAATTAGCAGACTTTGGCCTGAGGGCGGGATCTTGTGTGAGCTTGAAAGCAGTTCGGGAAGACAAGGAAATCTGCTTCTTGCTTCCAGCCAGATCCATTCACTGCCCTAATATATGCAGGTTGTTCATCTCTGACAAAGTGAACATGGAAGTTTGTCCTTGCGAAGATAAAGTGGGGAGGACTGGTGTTAGCCAAAGCATTATTGGCTACCACTGTGCTCACCAGAGATCCACGCTCCCCAGAGGTCACAGCTCCAACATGTTTAGCAATATATAACAATCTGTTAATATGACATTGTCATTTATTGTACTTGAAAATTGACTATTATCACTATATATCATAGAGTTAGAGAAGCTTTGAAGTTTGTAAGTAGGTTCTAGCTCTGTATTTTTCTGCTTTAGCATTAGTGTATCCAGGCTACAAATGCATAGTAGCTGTGTGTAGCATTTAATTTAATTATGCATCTTGCTTATTGTATTCGTTTATTTATGTTTCGCTCTTATTCGTATTGAACAAGAGGATTGCCGCCCAGTAAAGCACCAGGAATTATGACTGGCTGTTTGCAAATTTAATTTTGAATACAAATGAAATGAGAATGCACATTGCAACATCTAGATACTGATTTCAACTCAGAGATATGTACTTACAATACTGAGAAATTAGTAATACTTTACTGGCAAACACTAATGTCATTTTGGAGGTGAAAAATAACTTTAAAAGCATTCATTGCAAGGGTTAGCAACATGAAAAGGATCTTTGTTGTAAGAAAGGTGTGGAGGCCCTGAGGGACTCAACCAAAATACTAGGGGGATTTTTACAGCAGATCCTAGAAAACAAGACAGCAGTTGTGACATGATATTAATTGGTCCTTCCTCTGCTGAGTCAAGCAGTGTAGGCAAAGTGTCGTAGTGGTGCTGCAAATCAAGTTTGAGGTCCTGGATTTGTATTGACACAATATGAAGCCATACTGCCTTCAGCCTCAAGGGGGCAGGAGTGCACCAGTGTCTGTTTCATAAGCGTGCTCAAAACAGACTCAGAAGAAACACCAGACTGATCATATGTGGCGTAAAGATGTAAACCCTTCAAGCCATGTTAGTAACACTTTTAGAACATAAAAATAACAGCAGTAGCTTCTCACCAGCGAGATATGGATCCATATGCTGTGAAAAAATCTGCATAGTTTATTAAGATGTCCTGCACTGGGCATGCATTTAAAACCCTTCTGATTAGTTTGCAACAGAATATTTAAAGGTCAGATTGCAATACTACTACTATAAACCTCACAGTCTGTCCTCCATAGTGCAGGCAGGCCGGATTAGTTAAAGTCACTTGTTAAGACAAAAAGGAAAAAGGCTCTCTGCTGTAGGTCTGGCTGCGTGTACAGCCTGGAGGCAGTAGCAGAGGACAGCATGACGATGAACTGAACTCTGCGTGTACTCCTCCTCAAACTACACTTCCTCCTCTAGACTTCCTCTGTAGTGAGCTGCACAGCATCTTCAGCCTCTGTTTCACGCCCTCACTCCCCAAGGAGTGCAGAACGCTCTTTTTGTGTTGACACACATCCTGCTTTGTGTGTCCAAATGGCCCCAACAAGTAAAAGAGATCTCAGCAACATTGTGCCCTCAAGGTTGATGTGTTAGAAGCAGGAAAAATGGGTAAGCGTATGAGGATTGAGCTACTTTGATGGGCCAAATTGTGATGGCTTCATTGATGCATGTGGGGAGCTACTGTAGGTCAAATTGCTGAAAAAGTAATGCTGAACATGTACACACTTTTTAATGGAAACGTTATGCCCCGATGGCAGTGGCCTCTTTCAGCAAGATAATCTGCCCTGCCACAAAGCAAAAATGATTCAAGAATAGTTTGAGAACAAAACAAGTTCAAGGTGTTGACTTCGCCTCCAAATTCCCTAGATCTCAATCCAATCCAAATCTATGGGATGTGCTGGACAAACCGATCAATCTGACCACTTGGCAACTTACAGGACTTAAAAGATGCTAACGTCTTGGTGCCAGTTACTACTATACACCTTTAGAGGTCTAGTGGAGCCCATGTTGCGACGGGTTAGGGCTGTTTTGGCAGCAAAAAGGGGACCTGCATTACATTAGGCAGGTGGTCATAATGTTATGGCGGCTGACGGATCTAGTTCCATGTCCTGATGGAATGTGAACAGATAAATGACATTGTACATATCTGACCAAAAGATGAATTCATGTTAATGATCCACTCTCCTTGTCCATATTTCCCACTCTTAACACGTGTTCAGATGGTTGCCGGGATACATTTGTTTATACACTGAACAAAATTATAAACGTAACACTTGTTTTTGTCCCCATTCATCATGAGCTGAACTGAAATATCTAATTTCTCTATGTACACAAAAGGCCTATTTCTCTCAAATATTGTTCACAAATCTGTCGAAATCTGTGTTAGTGAGCACTTCTCCTTTGCCGGGATAATCCATCCACCTCCCAGGTGTGGCATATCAAGATGCTGATCAGACAGCATGGGTACTGCACAGGTGTGCCTTAGGCTGGCCACAATAAAAGGCCACTTGAAAATGTTTCACTGTATTGGGGGGGTCAAACCAGTCAGTATCTGGTGTGACCCCCATTTGCCCCACGCAATGCAACACATCTCCTTTGCAACAAGTTGATCAGGTTGTTGATTGTGGCCTGTGGAACGTTGGTCCACTCCTCTTCAATGGCTGGCTGAAGTTGCAGTCAGGTTGAGACCCTGATGAGGACGACGCACATGCAGATTACCTTCCTACCCGGAGATGGTTCCTGACATTTTGTGCAGAAATTCTTTGTTTATGCAAACCGATTGTTGCAGCAGCTGTCCGGGTGGCTGGTCTCCTCCAGCTGGTACAGACTAGAACAGACAGTCAGGACTGCAGAAAAGATCATCGGTGCAAACCTGCCCTCCAATCAGGACTTGTACTTTTCCAGAATCAGGAAACGGGCAGGAAACATCCCTGCAGATCCATCTCACCCCAGACACAATCTGTTCCAGCTTCTCCCCTCTGGTAGGTGCTACAGAGCACTGTACGCCAAAACCAACAGATTCAGGAACAGTTTCTTCCCACAGCCACTCTGACTCACAGTGTCAGTAACAATTCCTGTGCACCCACTTACCTCAAGTTCATAACACTTGCACAAAATACAATACATGTGTACATGTACCTGCGTATCACATCCGCCCCCGACATGTACATAATTAATGATAATAATAATTTTACTCCTGCATCCTTTTCTGACAGATTTGTGAACAATATTTGAGACAAATAGGCCTTTTGTGTACATAGAGAAAGTCTTAGATCTTTCAGTTTCAGTTTCAGGTCAGCTCATGATGAAGTGTTGCGCTTATAATTTTGTTCAGTGTATGTATGTTTTTTGTAGTGGTTCTTTTGGCATGATTATATTGCACTGGTTCTTGCCAAACTCTATTGCCGAAACAGTATTATTTTACTGAGGAATTATAAAAGTTATACTAATCTCATCTTTACCAGTTTTATTCCATAAAATTTTTTTCTACCATATCTTGGCCACTCTACATAACCCACCATGAAATTAGCATAGTCATTTTTACACTTCAGATGTTGTATGGATTAAACAAACAGTGTAACGTGTTCATTAGTGAGCTTTAGAGGTGCTCATAGGTAGATTTTGTTATTCTGTTGCCCAGAGCCAGACTAGCTATTTCCCCTTTTCCAGTTTCTATTTTATTTTCTATTAACAATTTGTTTCGCACGTTATGACTGCAAACACTTAAAGAGGCATTTTAATGTCAGTACAAGAAATATCATTTTGGTCTGCTATGAAGTGAAATATCTGAAGCAGAATAGAATGATAAACACAGTTTAGTGCCCCTAGCTCCTTTCAGATAATAATGTCTAATTTTTGCTAATTTTATGTTTGGCGTTATTTTGCAGGTTTAGAAAAACTGAACAATGATCGGTGTACATTGTCACACATATTTAATTTTTAAATCTTTTTTTGTGCTTAGATCCTTTTGCTCCTTAACTTTACTAGAAATGCATACAAGGAACTAGAAAAATGTAACAGCAGCAGGACAGATATGCAAAGACAAAAAACCTGTTGTATATGTCCAGCTTTTAAAACTGTAGTTTCAGAGTTTACTTCTTGTGCAAACAACACTCAGATAACACTGTTAGCGATATGTCAAAGACCAATTTTGCTTACTGTTGCTTTAGCTGGGGTAGTCCCATAGCCAACTTCAGTTCCTGATTCAGTAAGTAAATTAAATGCCATGTGCCTCCCTTCCTCTTTCACTCTGCCTTGTTGGTACTCAGAAACAGCCTGGTCCTGACGAACTGCTGCTTCAGGTAAGAGTGGGTGAATATTTACTGTATGGGGCCAAATTGACAAATCTATTGTGAAGATTTTCTTAGGTTTGTTCTCCTAGCTTTCTGACGATGGTCCAAATATTTACTATATTAACCTCAATGTGTTAAGAAAACTTAAATTGTAGTATCTGAAATTGTTCTTAAATGTGTCCTGAAGTATCCTATTGATTATGATTTGGGAGATTTGTGTTGAGAGACAGCAGTGCAGATTAAGAAAGATGCTTTGTGCAGCGTCAGTGTACATTTAGCTATTTTGGGATGTACATTTGAAATAAATATCACCACTTTGGGAGAAATTAAGCGCTGATGTCTTATGGTATGTTTAGTCAGAAATGATTGTTTCCAGTAATAATACTGGTTTCTCTTTGATAAGCAGCTCTTTTACACCATTATTTGCACAGTTTAAATTCTTTAAGAGAAATTTCCACTTGTAGTCACATGTCTTCGATTTTGTCAGTTCAGGCCGCCTGCTTTTCAGCCTGTTATGCACATTCAGAGCCTAAATCTGTAAGTCAAACATACAACATACTAAAGTTCGAGCAACATCATCAGCAAAAAAAGCACATTCTATTCATTCCTGAACGACCAACTGAGCACTTGATTGTGGAAAAACAACACATGACAGCCGTAGCATTTACGGACACTGAAATATTGCAATTGTGTCGTGAAGGGTAATGACTTGAATGTTTCAAAATGTGCATTTTCCATCTGTAGAAACTTGATGATTTCCACATTGATTCAAATATCCATACTCAAAATGGACAAAAGGGGCAGACTGGGCCTTCAATCTCAGCCTGATTTAATTAAACACTAGCTCGCCTGCTGACTTATCAGGGGTCATGTGGTTTCATCTGCAGCACTGACAGCCAGCTCTTTCACAGGCCGCCACCGAAGCAGAAACCCTAAACACAAGGACAAGGTGGAAAGTACGTTTACTCCAGTACTGTACAATTTAAGTACAATTTTGAGGTTTGTACTTGTAATTCAATTTCATGCCACTTTATGTTTCTACTGCTACTCCACTACATTTTAGAGGGAGATATTGTACATTTTACACCACTTATATCTGGAGCAGACTTCCTTTACAGATTAAGTTTTTAGATTTAAAAACGCATGAAATACAAAACATTGTTCAAGGCCAACAATTACATTACAAAGACTGGAGCCTCTAGGAATCAGTAACGTGTAACAAAAAGAAAGAACACCATAAAGAGGAACACTTGTTTTACTGTTTTGATCCCAATACCAAACCTTCCTTGCAGAACAGCAAAAAATGTGACCCACACAAAAGCAGAAACTTTGCCTGGTACATGGTGTCATGTTCCTAAAAAGATCTCATCTTTTCCTTTTATTTCCCAGCAGTCAAGATGTTCCCGTACTGTTGGCTTGCTCTGGTGGCTTTAATCCCCATGACCTTAAGCACTAATCCTGGGGTAAAGGTCAAACTAACAGAAAAAGGCCTTGAATATGGTATGGTCTGCAGCATGTTTCCTCTTTCAATTGAAAAGCACCAATCACTCCGCAGTTTCATTATGAAATTTTCTTGCTTTTTTCTAGGCAGACAACTGGGGATGGCTTCAATCCAGCAGAAACTCAAATCCATCAAAGTCCCAGATATTTCAGGGACAGAGTCAGTGTCTCCCATTGGCGATGTCCAGTACAGCCTGTCGGAGTAAGGCCCCCATTTGTCCTTAACGCTCCTGTAAATTCTGTTGGTTGATACTTGAACTGCCTTCACAAACAAACATGCTGTTCTTCCAGTATGCAAATCGTGGATGTGGGATTGACAAAATCTGCGGTGGACCTGGTGCCAGGGACCGGTTTGAGACTGTCCATTGACAACGCCTTCATCAGTCTGCATGGAAACTGGAGGGTCAAATACTTCCGAATAATGTGAGAGACATAAGATTACTTCCTCATACAGCACAGTTAAATCAATTGTGGGATACTTCTGCTGCAGCAGGGACTTCTCTCTCTTAACAGAAAGGATAGCGGTTCTTTCGATTTGAATGTGAATGGACTCACTATCACTATCAGCATTGCCATCCAGAGTGATGAGACAGGCCGACCTGTGGTCAGTACTGTCGACTGTGCGGCCACTGTCGGCAGTGCGAGCATAGTGTTCCATGGTGGAGCCAGGTAAAAGAAACCATGCTGCGCATTATGTGGGAACCCATGTGAGGGAATGGGAATTTTCTGTTTTACCTGTCATACTTGACAGGCTGCATACTCATAATTCCTGTGCTTGCCTTTTGTTTCAGCTGGCTGTACAATCTCTTTGAAAGCTTCATTGACAGGGCTTTGCAAAATGCACTGCAGAAACAGGTGAGGAGCAACCAGCCTTACACCCACTGTTTTTGATGATCCCCCTTCCTCTCTGGCGTTGTATTCACATAGTACATAGGAATCCTCCTAAATGCAGCACAAAGTTTCTAACTAGGAGTTTCTTCTTAAGGATTTGAGAGCCGCCATGGAAGAAGTATTCACATCCTCTACTTAAGTAAAATACCCATACAACCCATACCCAAAGTTAAACTACTTCATTCAACTTCTTACTCAGTAAAAGTACTTAAGTATCATCAGCTTCATGTACTTTATATAAAAAGTAAAGATACTGGTTTTATGTGTGTTTGATTTTGATGTTTTTATTACATAGTAACATGAATAAATACATATTATAATGTCATGCACAGTGACACAAAACATTCTTCAGAACTGTCGAGGATAACACAAAAAAGTAAATAAACGTATTTCCATTGTGGTCCTCATTGTAGTGTAATAAAGACTGCAAGGCTACAGATGACTCAAGGTGCCCTGTACAACCAACCCTTACAATATTCAGACAATATCCAGATACATCCTTGTACACAAATACATACATATACAGTAGCCAATGAGAGTTCCTAACAAGCTAGAAATTTTTTTTTGATCTTACTGTCTGTACCTCTGTGTGTATATTGTGTAGGCTGCCTCCCTCCCCTCTCTCTCTCTCTCTCTCTCTCTCTCTCTCTCTCTCTCTCTCTCTCTCTCTCTCTCTCTCTCTCTCTCCCCAACCGGTCGAGGCAGATGGCCGCCCACCCTGAGCCATGGTTCTGCTCGAGGTTTCTGCCTCTTAAAAGGAAGTTTTTCCTTGCCTCTGTCGCCTAGTGCTTGCTCTTGAACTGTTGGGCTTCTGTAAATATCATCACAGAGTACGTTCTAGACCTGCTCTTTTATGAAAAGCGCTGTGAGATAACTGTTGTTGTGATTTGGCGCTATATAAATAAAATTGAATTGAATTGAATTGAATCTGCCATGGCACAGTCCTATCCAAAACCTTTGGTGTTAATGTCAGTTTCTGCTGCCTCAACCTATTTTCTGCCGTCAACCATTCAGAAGAGCTGACATGAGTCCTGTGGTTGAGGTTCAAGATCACCCTGACTAGTTTATTTTGTGTCATTACATTATAACATTGTTAATAGTGATGTATTAATGTGTAAGCAGCATTTTGCTGTTGTAGCTGGTGGAATTGGAGTTTTATACTTTATATACATCTTGGTACTTTAGTTCATTGGTTCCCCACCAAGGGATCGGGCCCCTCCAAAGGGTCACAAGATAAATCTGAAGGGTAATGGGAGAGGAAATAAAGAAGAATGAAGTTTTTTGTGTGAATTAGACATATAAAACATGTGACAAGGAGCCCTAACTAGACACAGTTTTATATAAGGGGTCACAAGCCAAAAAGGTTGGATACCACTAGTCTTATCTTTAACAATGTGTTGTATTTCATAAGTTTATTGAGAGTATTTTTTTATTTTATGTGTTACTTTATGAAGTAACTAGTAACTATACATGTCAGACAAATGTAGTGTAAAATGGAAATACAAGTAAAGTTCAACTACTTCAAAATTGTGCTTGAGCAAATGCGCTTTCCACCACCAGGTCTGAAGAGTGCATTCATTATTCTAGCAGACAGTTGAGATCTTCTAAATACAACTGCCAACTCCATCTGCATTTTTCCAGAGTTGTGCGAAAAATCAATTCTGGTGTTACTGAATCATTTCAGTTTTTTGGTGATCCTTGTTAATTCACTCGCCATGGGATAATTTGCCAAAGTGTGCTTAAAAAAGTCAAAACTCAAAGCGTGTCTCTTAAAGTCAGGATTAACGTGCGCCTTGTTATTTTACACATACTTTTTCTCTTTTCTCTGAACTCATTAAGTTGGGAGAAACGTTTAATCCTAGCATGTTTTGTGAATGAAGTCGCTTCAGAAGTTTAAATTCAATAACACTGAATAAAATTAGAAATCATCACAAACTAGAGGTAATTGTGGATGAAACATTGATTTAAATGAAGTTATTCATCTGCTGTTGGTTTCCTGATGACAGTTTGATTCTAAAGTGCTCTGTATTCATTTGGAGGGGTCTTTGAAAAGTTGTTTATGCAGTCAGAAGTCAGGGTGTCAACCTAGCTTCTTTTGGAGTGTGGGAATCCATTTTTCCTGTTCTTTATTGTTGCAGATCTGCCCTCTGGTGGCTGATGCAGTATCTGATTTGAACCCTCACTTGAAAACTCTCAATGGTAAAACATTATTTTATGTCAAATCTTTGGATGTTTCATTGATGCTGAATGTATGACAGACTTTCTACCTTACTGCAGTTGTAGCCCAAGTGGACCAGTATGCAGAGATTGAATATTCCATGGTGTCATCGCCCACAGTTTCAAATTCTTCCATAGACCTGAGCTTGAAGGTAAAGAAATGTACACCATTGTACTGTCCATTTTATAGATCTGAAGCCTCAGCTTGGTCATAAAGAACAAGACAGTCATGATTATGTCATAAGTCTTCTGTCTCTGCTGTGTCTTTGTCATTTAGGGTGAATTTTACAACATTGGGGAGCATCAGGAGCCTCCATTCTGCCCCACAGCCTTTTACCTGCCACCTCAGATCAACAACATGTTGTACATCGGCATGTCTGCATTCACCGCCAACTCTGCAGCCTTCGTCTACAACAAAGCGGGAGCCCTCAGCCTGTACATTACCGATGACATGGTGAGCTGCGTCCTCCTGACTCCCTAATGAATTTACTTTCCCAATGTCACACTGATGCACGACTTTTTCTGGCTCCGTCACAACAGATCCCACAAGCCTCTCCCATCCGACTCAACACCAGAACGTTTGGAGCCTTCGTCCCGCAGGTGACTACACATTCCACTGATTTTATGAGAAGCATAAACCTCTGCTTTGCAGTTTGTAAGCTACGTATGTGTTTTCCAGATTGCCCAACGCTTTCCAGGGCTGATGATGAAACTGCTGGTGAAGACGGTGAACAATCCCACCGTCACTTTTGAACCCAACAATGTGACAGTTCAAGCCAATGGCACAGTGACGGCCTACGCAATCCAGCCAAACGCCACTCTTACCCCTCTCTTTGTCCTAAACTTGGTAGGTTCCACAGCTGGCGTGATGGAAAACCATTTGTGTGCTCTATAAAAACACCTTCTCACCACATTGTCTTTCCAGGAGACCAGTGTCAGCGCCAAAGTGTTTGTCAGCGCGATGAGGCTGGCTGGAGCTGTCACCCTAAACAAGTGAGTCACTAAAAAAACAAACCACTTGTTCTCAGAAGAGAAAAATGGGGCCTAAAGGTGAATGAACAATGAACGTCACGATCTAATTTTGCCTAATTTGCACAGAATGGGTCTGACCCTGGGGACCAGTTACGTGGGAGAGTTTCAGGTGAGAGCTGCATTGTAACGCAAGTCACAGTGTGTACCATCCATGCAGACCTAACAAACTAACCCTCACCCTAACCTGCAGGTCAAATCCCTCGACAACATCTTCCAAATGGTCCTCAAAGTGGTAGTGATACCTAAAGTGAATGGTAAGTTTTCAGTTTGTACACTCTCTGTGAACTCGGTGCCCTGTCATGTACTCAGGCTGTTCAAACCCAAGTACACAGGGAATTTGTTAAGTTACTAAAACAGCATTCTTCCTTCTGAGAAAGACTGCCATTTCAACCCTTCATAAGAATGCAGAAAAGCTAAATTCCACCTTCCTTTTAGCATGAATTTCAGAGACATGACTCTGTATCCATTTTCGCATCCTGTACCGGTTTAGCTGCTCCTGAACAAACAGATTCAGGACTGTTTTAAACCAACGATGTCCTCGTTGGTTTGAAACAGTGAGATATGTTAAAGCAAGTATAATCACGTAGCACTATCACGCCTCTGTCTGCTCAAATAGTTATGACTGATAACCACTTGAACCTTTTCTCACAATTATGATCCTGGTCTTGTGACAGAAGCTGGACGTTCCAACAGCTTTTCCTTTATTTCGACTTCTCTACTTTTAACTCATTTGCAGTTCCAACAAGTGGTGTTAGGGCGTTAAAGCGGACTCAGGTTTGGCCTGTGCAATCAGACAAATATTACTGGTAGTTCACTTATAATTGAAACAATAGATATTGAACTTAACACCAGTCCCACCCAAATATTTTCCTCCTGAACACATATCTAGAGGTTCCCTCTGAGGAACAAGTACCCCTAGTTGGGAATCACTGGACTAGAATACTGTAATGCATTAATAGGCCTTCGTAAAGGACCTATTGGTGACTGGTTGATAAATGGCCTTTGACAGTTTCATATTGCAGACTTTATCATTAATGTCACCTCATACGCTCTCTGATCATCCCCTGCTAATTCGAGATGTCCTTATACCGGCTATAATTCTTTTTTTATAGCAACAATGTGTCTAATGACAATGGGAAAACAGCGCAATCTTGTGAAAGGGGTCAATCATAGTGATGAATCTACAGAGAGAATTATCTGCTGAATCTGCAGCTCCCCTCAGTTTTATGGAGCTTTATATTGAGTTTCTCTAAAAACCCGCTGTCCACTGCCTGTTCATCACCAAACGGTAGACAGACACAGTTATAGACTTGATGGTGAACATAGTTGAGTTGCTAGAGACCAGAGCTAAAAGAGAGGGAATATGGGCCTTATAAAAGCCAGGTGGCCAGGAACACGACTCCAAATGAATCCAGATGTTGCTCTGGAACTGCTGAATGTGTTAAAAAGCAACTGTTTGCAAACAACTTAAAGGTTATGATGTGTCAGTGCTGCGTCCACAACTGTCAACCTATCACTGATGTATAAAGACCTTACACAATGAACCGTTTTTATTATGTTAGAATGAGCCATTTCAATCTACATACATGGCCGCCGTGTTTCTACAATAGCCCAAATGGTAAGTTAATAAATCGTTAGTAGTAGTAGTAGTAGTAGTAGTTGTTGTTTGGCTTATTAGAAGTGAGAAAATAAGTGACATTTGGACAAATGGAGGACCACATGTATTATTTTGCACAAAAGCTGACAGAGCGTGTCGGCCACCGTAGTTTCTCCTGCGGGCTCGGTAAGGGAGGGGTGAGCGGTGACTGATGGTGCATTCATAAGGTGTCGGAATAATCAGAATATTTTTTCCTCCTTAAATCTTTATTGTAAATAGAGAAATAAAGAGTACATGGGACAAAGAATTATACAGAACTTGCCACTGGTTGCAATTTGCCACCCTCACCACTAGATGCCACTACAACTGACACACTGAACCTTTAAACTTGGGTGCTGTAGGCCTTCTCGCCCTATTTATTTTTGTTTATTTATTTTACGATTATCTTTCTGTGTAAAGCACAGAGCTGGGCTGCATTGAATGAATGAATTGTGCTATATAACTATATAATCAATATATACAGGTGCTTTGAAAATTAGAATATCATGGAAAAGTTCATTTCTTTCATCAATTTAAAGCAAAAAGTAAAGCTTTCATATATTCTAGATTCATTACATATAAAGTGAAATATTTCAGGACTTTTTTTGTTTTAATAATATGATAATAGAGATAATTATGGCTTACAGCTCATAGAAAAAAAAATCCATATCTCAAAATATGAGAATATTCAAATAGTTGACATGGGAAGAGCCTTTAATCTCTCAGTCTGGTTCAGTACACACAACCACAATCGTGGGGAAGACTTCTGACTTCACAGTTGTCCAGAAGACACTCAGTGACACCCTGGGTAAGCCACCAAAGGTCATTGTCAAGAGGAGAATAAGAGACACCAGACCCAACAATACAGACAAGCTGAAGGCTTCATAACACCTCGGCAATGCCACAGGCTGATTGCCTCCATGCCACACCGCATTGATGCTGTCCTTTGCGCAAAAGGAGCCCCGACCAAGTGCTGAGTGCATAAATTAACCTTTTAGAATTCTTGATTCTAATATTTGAGACATGGATTTTTGATTTCCATGAGCTGTAAGCCAAAATCATCAAGATTAAAACAAAAAGGACCTGAAATATTTCACTTTATGTGTAATAAATCTATAATATAAGAAAGTTTCACTTTTTGAATTAAATTTGGGAGAAAAAATATTCTAACTTTCTGAGATGCACCTGTTTAAAACGCACTACTACCAGTACCGCTATAATGTTTGCCGCATTTGCTTTTTGTGACTAATTGAAGAATTTCGCTTCACAGTTCAACTTGCAAAGGGATACCCACTTCCTACACTTGGAAAGATGAACCTAGTGAACACTCAGCTTCAGGTCCTGAAGGTCAGAGACTAGATGTTTTCTCTAAGACTGCATGTTTTTGAGTGAGCTGCATTGATTACATGAGAGGGATTAATGAGGGACTTGGTAAAAAACACATTAAAATCTAGCTGATAAAAAGAAGTCCTAATTTCATATTTGTTGCTGTGCTTCCCCCCCAGGACTATATGCTGATTGGGACAGACGTTCAGTTCACGGATTGAATGGCATTTCTGGAAACTTCCAGGATTCACTTCTACACTGGGACATGCCAACATAAAGGCACAAACAGCCAGTACTTCTATGTGACAGAGAAATTTCAAAGAAACAATCAATGATACCAGTATTACTCCTACAAGCCTGAGAAATGCACATCTCCAGTTTGCGTTTGATATCACCTCAGATTTTCAGACCAAGGTATTTCTACATATAAAATGTAGATGAGGACAGTGAATTTACCACAACAGTGTAAATGCAGTCTTGTCATAACAGGACGCAGTCTGCAGTACAGGGTTTACTTTTCATTCCCACAAACATCTTTTTGAAATAACATGCTCCTTCCAAAGCAGATCACAGATCAGTGTCTGCTGCTGACTTTAGGCAAATTCTTTCTCAGTTTCTGACTTTGTAACTGATTCTGGAAATGTAATGATGTATGACAAGTTTGAGTCCCATAAAAGATGCCATAACATTAATCACGCGCCACTGCTTCAGACAAAACAAATCAGTCACAGTTTATTACAAACGGAATTATTCACATCATCTGAACAGGTTTCAGTGTATTCAGCAGTTCAATATGTACACACACATGCTTGCTGTATAAATAACACATTGCAGTTCTCATAGTTCATCTCAGCAGTCCAACGTGACTGTAATATGATCAGAATTTCCACCAAAACCCACTCATGTGTCTTCAAAGTCATTCAAGAGAAGGAGGCAGGGTGCTAGTTTTCCCCTCATCAAGCTGGTGCAGGGGCAGAGTCTCAGAGTGCTTCACCGTGCTTCTCAGGGAGCTGTGACTGAGGGCCCGTCCTCTCAGGCTCTGGGAGTTGGCTGACAATATCTATAACATCAAAAAATGAATGAGTGAGTGAAGAAATCTGAAGGGAGAAGATGACCGGCAGGAAACAGTAGCTGATTAAAGGGTAAGGTAAAAGATTATAATCTTTAGCTATGACTGGTGTCACAGCTAGACATGAGTTGTACGTGACTTTATTAAAGGTGTGCGTACATTTGAACATGTGCGATGGATTTCTCATTTTAGGATGATTATAAACACTTCCAAACTTTTTTTTTTTTTTATCTCTGTCTTAAACTGATGAAAAATGTAAATAAAAGTATCCAATATTTGAAGTATAGCCTGACCATTACTGGATTTTTGAGGGCGATAGCAAGTAATATTTGAGTTAAAAAAGTATGTCCTGTGAAAAAATAAAAACTGTTCCGCCTTTGGCAGACAATAGTGTGTCCATGTAGGATCCCAACACATATATCTTATAGGATGACTGTGAAAATAATGTGTTTTTTAAATAATTGGGACAATTTACAGTTGTGAAAGTGCTCTCTGGTGGAAAAACTATGTAACAGCGACAGTGTTTCTTAATTGGGTTAAACATATCATGCAATGGTTGGTTAATTATCAGCCAGGATGGATGGATGGATGAAACAAACCCCACCTTCACCAGCACATAGTCTCCAGCATTGACCTGTGCAGTGTTGGATTCTGCAGGCTGAACAGCAACATCCTCTTTGGGGAAAACAACTTTCACATTGCCATCAGTTCTCCCACACAGGTCCCTGACAGATCTTTTACTTTCCTGCATAAAAATGGAAACCACAGATGAGCAGTGTTGCGCGGTAACCTGGAAACCAACCAATCAGTCCTCTCCCTCACATACTGGAATGAGGCTTTAAGAGACTAAAAGTCTCCAGGCATGTTAGTGACTCTGTGAGGCTTTGAGCTAAATGCTAATGTTCCCACGCTAACATGACACAAGCCTAATCTTTCCCATGTTCAGCTGATCCTACAGGGATGAAATGAGTTTAGCATGTATTAAGTTTACTGGACAAATACAATTCATCCTGAGGGAGACATGAATGCCTTTCCCAAATTTCATTTCAGAACACTGAGCGAGCCATCCCTAGAGCAACGCCACAAGCTTCTTTTTTATTATTCTACCCTACCTCCATCTAATCTATCTTTTACAAAGTTAGCTGTGCAGAGAGGCAACAGTTCATTTATTTTATGAATAAAATATGTTTGAGAAAATTTTATATGTAGGGTAATGATCTTATATTCCCATTTTCTAAATCAGATATCCTTTGAGGGATGTCTTAGTCATGCAAGCAATACTTACTCCCTCCACCAGGACAAGCTGTGTGCTGCCAATAAGTGCAGCGTTGACCCTCGCAGCTTCCTCTCTGAATACGCTGATACACTCCTCCAGCCTCTGCTGCTTCACCTCTGCTGGCACGTCATCTTGTAGCCGATGGGAGGCATAGGTTTTCTGAGTAAGAAAATCACAAGTGCAGTTCCAAAAGAATTTAAAGCTGGATAACTTATGGGGCAACTGAAAAGAACACTTTTGAAAATAAGCACAGCTTGGATTTAATTGGAACTTGAATTACAAACACACATGAACTCACCTTTCTCATGCTGTAGGCAAACAGGAATCCCACATTGTAGCCCACGTTTCTGATCAGAGACAGAGTCTGATGGTGGTCGTCCTCTGTTTCGCCACAGAAGCCTGAGATGAAGTCACTGCTGAGACTCACCTCTGAAACATGTCAATAATGTTAAAAACAGACCACGCACTACTTCATCGAGATGATAATACCGAAGCAAATGCCCTTCATGCAATGTAAGCGTTCTTACTTTTTGCAAGTGCAAGTTAGTGTTATCTAATCATAAACTATTAATCAGTGTAACCTACAAACAGGTGACAAATTAAAAGGGTGACGAATTACATCTACTTTCTTTTTTGAGTAGTTTTTGCACACACTGCCCAAAATCAGTCATTTTACTTTTACTTCAGCTTTTTTTTATTACACCACCTCACTGGGGCTGATCATGCGCTCACATAGCTTCTATTAACACTGCTACGCAGATGATACGCAATTTTACCTATCCTTCCCGCCAGGCAACCCCACGTCTCAGCGTGGATCACGGACTGTCTCTCGGGCATATCTGCATGAATGAAGGATTGCTACCTTCAACTAAACCTCTCTTAAGACTGAGTCCATTACTGAGTGACCTCCCCTGGCTACCCGTGGCCTCCAGAATCAAATTCAAGTGACTACTGGGTCTGCACCCATCTACCTAAACTCCATAATACAAGTTTACGTTCCTCCTCGGCCACTACGCTCCTCCAGGGAACGCTATCTGGCCCTGCCATCCCTACACGTGGTGGAACGAGCTACCACACGCCATCAGAGCAGGAGCAACCTGTTAACATGTTTGACTGTATAACTGTTTGAGCAGCACCGCGTTTTGTGTGTGCACTACACTGTGTTTGTGGCTGTAGCTGCTATGGAGTTCATGGTGTCCATATTGCCTGCTACCATAGTGAAGTTTTATTGTACTCCTGATTCTATGAGAAGTGGCAGGCAGTACTCACAGCCTTTTTGTTTAACAGAGTTTTGTCCTTTGGTTCTTTGGGTTTTCTAGTACGGCTACACTGAGAAAGGCGGTATATGTTTATGTTAATTGGAAATCAGTTGTATACACAGGCTGCAAGGTGCCGTCTGTAGAAAACTATTGTTTTGTTGGGTTGGACAAAAGGGCTTGCCCACATATGTACAAACACACACACCCTTTTGAAAATGTAACAGCATACATTTTATTTTATTTATTTTTTACTTTCATTTAAGAACATGTTTACACAAGATTTTTACTTGAGTAAAATGTTCTAGGACTCAAGGGATCAAATTTAACCTGATTTTGGGAGCCTACCTGGGATTATTCTCTTGATGTTCTTCACAAGATCGAGGTAGGTTTCTCTTGTGTAGCTGTCCATTTTATTAGAGAAATACAAGTTATTAGAACATTAGAATACTGCAGGAGACTTCACAAACTGAACCGCTTTGACGATTTCGTTGGGAGAAATGAACAGCGGTCTCTTACCCACGGCGCATTGCTTTTAGGACCTTGCTGCTCCCACTCTGGGCTGGAAGGTGGATCTGCTTACAAATGTTCCCTCGCTCCGCAATCAGATGCAAAACCTGTAAACATCAGCACACAGACCAGGGGCCTCATGTGAAAACTGTTACATACGCTGGTTTTCACACACGTCGGATGTATCAAAATGAACATGCGTGAGAATGTGTCCGCAAACATTTGTCTGGCTCTGTCAGTGGATTCCAAAGTACTGAAACCAAATGTTTTAAAATAAGGTTTCCACTCCACACACAGTCTATGAAAAACACAATTATGTCTGCTGATACACCATAAAAGTTTGATCTTGTTTGTGGATGTTTAATATCAAAATAAAATTTAATGAGAAACAAATAGATAATGATGCCTCTCACACATTTAATTTCACTTCATGTCAATTTCATTTCATGTTATCACTTTATCATTTAAGCATTTAAACCAGTAGTGTTATTTTGCTCACGCCACTAAAATCTCCACCCCGGAGTGCAGAACAGAGACTGTTGGGGAGCCCATAAGCATCATAAAGCCAGTATAATGTCAGGTCTTAGACGTAAATTTAGCTTCGGAGTCCTTTTCAGACTTTAACTCGGCTAACTGGTGGAATTATCATCATTTTAAAAATCCGAGATAACCTCAAATTGCATAAAAGAATTGCAGTACAGAGCGTCACCTCGACTCACCCGGCACATCTTCACCACCTGCACGTATGGACTGTGTAAATGAACAAAGTCTGGAAAGAAATCCAGTGACAGCTCTCACACAATCGCAACACTCCATCCTCATCATCAGTCTCTCATCACAATGCAGGCCAGACATAACAAAACAACACATCTTCAAATGATTTCCCAGGGTGGGGGAGACCTCTGACTGAAGCCATCATTTTGGCAAGGTGTGAAGTACTCAGTGATTGCTGTAAACATATAAATACTGCGTAATTGGCTGCGCTATGGCGCTGCAGAGGGCAACGCCAAGGGAAGGCTTAGAGAGTGTCCATGAAGAGTTCCTGGCCCGTGATGATGACTGGCTAATACTTCGATTTAAATTCCCGAGAGTGGTGCTCTTGGATCTGTGTGCTGAACTTCAGCATTAGACAGACCAACCTGATGGAACCGCACCGTCCCAGAACAACAAGTACGCTATAACCACATTGACTGCCACTGTGACACACCGTTGTTTTGTTTTTTTTTAAAAACCCTGATTTTCTGAATTTGGCAGGTGACCTGAAATGTTTACCTGCCTGCATTTGGCAGGTGCTAATTGAATTTCCTGGTTGGAAATCAACACTGGGTTGTCACCGATTGCATTTTTTCTGGCTGATTCCGAATACAGATATTTTCAAGGTCCTGACCTGCCAATTCAGATTTTCTTTCACTCTAAGAACTATGATTGACAGCATACACGAGCTGCTCCTGCTCTCCTAGCAGAATTAAAAGTGAGCGTATTACGTACCTCATCAGGGAAATCCTTGGGATGAGGGGACGTGAATCTGATCCTCATGTCAGGATCGATGCGTGACACTCGGTCTAGCAGGTCGGAGAAGCGCAGACCTCCCTGTTTAGTTCTGTAGATGGTCTTAAACCCCCTGCTGAGCTTGGTCAGGTCCGAGCCACAGAACTGTTCTTCTGATGTATCTCTGTAGCTGTTCACGTTCTGACCCAGCAAGGTCACCTCCTTCACACCCTGAAAAAAACATCCAACACGCTCAGTGTGAACAAGGCTTATTATCATTATTATTATGTTTTTACAATATCAAATACTGACTGTTTTCTCCAATAAGACAAATATTTTTGCCCTTTCTAATAAACCAACGATGTACTACCCTTCCTTCCTATTCTGGTATCGCTATCGGTGCGTGTCTACTTACTGCAAACAAGTGTAGGAGTTTAGTTTTAGTGTTGAGGTTCGGACTTGCCTGGTCAGAAAGCATCCGAACTTCCTCGAGAATGGAGCTAACAGGTCGGCTCCTCTCTCTCCCTCGGGTGAAGGGAACAATGCAGTAACTACACATGTTGTCGCAGCCTCGCATGATGGAACTGCCCGCACCAAACACACACACACACACACAAGGTCATCAGAGGTTAAAATATAAAGGAGGAGGAGGAGTTGTGGAGGACAAATTACTTCCTCCACAAACCATATTTGCTGGGTAAACAACTGACACACTCACACAAAAGCACTGTATCCCTGAGGAGCAAGGTGGACAGGCATGATGTCGGCATAGGTCTCCTCTAACGACAGCAGCACGTTGCTTGCCTGATGACCTCCGTCAGCGACCGTCAGGAGGCGGGGAAGGTCCCGGTAGGCGTCCGGACCAGCAAGAACATCTACCAGCTTCTCCCCTCCAAAAGTTCTGTCTTTAGCCTCTCTGCCATGCACCCTGGACACACACAGGCATTCATTCTTGTGTCCTCTGCAAGACAGTCAAATGTGTCCCCTTAGTGAACTCACTTACCCAAAATCCCAATCTTCATCGGTGCGTGGGTCTTTAATCGTCTCTTCTTCAGGGCCGTTAGTTGTTGTAGTCTATTCCAAATGGTTTGTTCAGCCTTTTCTCTGTTAAAAGAAGAGACCATCGGTTGGTGCGTCTGATTTAGTTTGTGTGGTCTCATAAAAACCTTGTAATTCCAATTTGTCAAAACAGTTTTTCTTGAAAGTTTGTAACATCTTACCTTATGGAGCATGTTACCAGAAGGACAACATCTGCCTGTAAGCACAAAGGATATTTTGTATCAACTGTTTTGACATAAATGATGTTGAGATTACATAAAGACAGAGCTCTCCTGTAAGTTACCTCACTTAAGTCAGCCGTGCGCTGATACCCCTTCCTCTGTAGTATGGACCAGGCTATCTCTGTGTCGTTCACATTCATTTGACACCCGTAGGTTTCGAAATACACTGCAATATTAAGACAAAACACCAGTTTGGCATTCGTCCCGAACAATCACATTTAACTTGGTTTTGGTTTTTTAACATGGTTTTCAGTGATGCAGACTAACCTTTCCGTGAGTTACCCATGTCCAAGTCCTCAGAAAGATAACTGTGTTTGTCAGAATGCTCTCCATCTGCAGCATAGGTCTTATTAACTGAAACCTCTTTGATGAAATCCTGAAAACTTGGACCAGAGGAGATCTGACTCTTGAACTTGTCCACAGTTACATTCCTCTCTCTTGAAGTAACACTGGTGTTAGCTAATTTAGAACAATGTCTGTGTTGGACACGCTTGCTCGGTCTCCAGTGTTGGGGAACGGGAACTTTAAACAAGGATCTTAAAGTCCTGAAGTGTTCCATGCTAAGTCAGCAAGTGCAAACTCTTTGTAGCTAACGTTACCAAATATTGTAGTTAGCGAAGTTACTTTCTGAGCGACTTAGCTGACATTTTTGTCCATTGTATATTTTACTGAAGAGATTACTGTATGCGCGCTAGGTACATCGGGTAAATGACATTGGCGCTTGTGTCATGTGGAGCCAAAGATGTCTGAAATATCAAGAGCAGTACCTGCACATTCCAAAGTAACGTTATAGAAACCAGGAAGAAGCGCTAGGCTGGTAAAAATGTTGAATGTTACTAGGTGATAATAATAGTTTGGGGACGGTGGCAGAAATTCTATCTAATAACAGTTATTGTATAATTAACACAACTATCATGAATATTTGTGTTTGCTATTAGCCCGAATATAGTAGGTTATCTCTTCTGTTTAGTTATTTACAGAAATGGCGTAGTGTCAGGAGCCATGTTATTCGGACGTTTTTATTACTACATGGAAATTCAAAAGGCCATGGTGGAGAAAAAGAATAGTTAAGTAGGTAACGTTGTCCTGCTCAGCTAAAACGGGAGTAGTAATGACTTAGACGATAGGGACAACGAGTATCTAGCCATGTAGGTTCTTTGATAGGGAATGCTCTTGCATCCCGAGAGTCCGTTAGACAAAACTGTCCCTCGGTACGTCCAACTTCACGGTCCGTATAAATTCGTTCCGGGCTTCAGCGACAGCTTCGATGTGTCCTTTTAACAAATCGCCAAAATCTTGAATCTATCTTAAAAGCTGAGCACTTATTGCTGAGAGATACAGTTCACACTTATTTCCCACGTTACGGTCCCAAACTCGAACCCAAGGAAGCAGTGGTGGGAGTGCAATGGGATGGGGAGGGTAGCATAAAAATAAAAAATAACTTAATATGATCAACTTCTCGTAGAAATTATCCCAGGGACAGAATGTATGTTCATCAGAAGAAGCACAGTCCTTATGTTTGGGATCATCCAGTCTGTAGAGCCAGCTGTTAAATACAAGGTGTGCATTACATAAACCTTTAAAGGAGACCTATTAAACTGTTTTTCCTGTCCTATATTGTAGGACTGTGACTCCTGTATGGCTCCTGTATGTATTTTTGAAGCTTTGGTCATGTTTAACATGAACATCCAACATTGTAACATTGGTCTCCTTTAAAACAATGACGTATGTAGCCCTGTAATAATTAATAACCAATTAAACATAATGTAAAGTTTTATACATGTGTGCAAAGCTTCTTATTCAAATGTATTAACAGTTTATGAGGAAGCAATGTGCTCTTGTGTTGCGCAAGTACTCGACTGAAACAGTATCCCTTAGAGATAACATACTTTTTACGAGTATCTTCTGAGTAAAATGTGTAATATGTGTTTTCTAATGAACAATACAAATAGGAACAGTTATTTTTTTATTATTAGTTCTCTCACTATTGTGATCAAAACAGTGCTCTGAAGCTCAATTCAGAGGCTGTTCTGTAAATAGCTCTCTAATAAATTCAGCATATTTTGATCAACCTATATCAGGTTTAAATTAAGTGGATTCGCCCACTTCCGGTGTATACCACGCCCATTTCGAAGTTAAGTTAGATGCTTGAACAGATAGACACTGATTGCCTAATGGTGTACTCACTCATCACTAACCCAATAACATACACACTTTGTGTTTGTTTCCCCGGGTCCCATTGGACAAAATCATTTCAAATAAAGGGCTATATGTATGTATTAGTTTTACGCTGACAGGCAATGGTTTTACATAACACACTTTATTTTAAGGAACATTAAATTATTCATTAAACTATAAACAATATCTCATCAAATCATGCAGTTTTTGTGTGTTTTCAATTATGTGTTTGCAACGATTTGTTTTTGATCTTTCATTATAGCATGTAAGTAACAGTAATGTGCCAACACACACACACACACAGAGAGAGAGAGAGAGAGAGAGAGTCAGCATGTGTGATGTGGGAGTGACTGGGAGCTACAGGTTCAGTATAAAGTGACCATGGATGAAGGGATCACAAACAGTACTGTTCCAGTGTTTCTTTTGTTCAGTCTTTGAGAGGATGAGAGATGAGAGTGAAGGGCACCAAATAAAGAGGAACTGCAGGGACTCTCAGAATTCACACAAAATCACTAGGTACCTCTTCCACCACACGTGTGAATGTCCTGTGCATATTATACATTTAATGTTTGTGCAATTTTCAACATTTCAAATGAAATGCTACTGTTTTCCACCGTAGTCTACATCTCTGCCTGCTGCAACTTCCGTGCCTTCTGCTGAGCGATGAGGCTGGTTGAGGGGAACTGTGGTTTCAGCGTTTTTTCTAATGTAATTTCTACTCCTGTCATTTTTTTTCTAGCTGTCCATTCTTCTCCACGACTAGCTGTGAGGATGGAGAAAGCTGCACTGCTGCTGTTTTGTTGCCTGGTCATGTCTTTATCAGGCTCCCCGCTCTACCCATCCATTAGGTAAGTCCTGACAGATTTACTGGGATTCTGATATTTAGTGTTTCACTGTTCAGTGTTTTTTTAAAGTTATTCAAATTTCTTATGACTCGTCAACTTTGTAGACGCCTATCGATGGAAGCAGAAATACTGAAAAGTGGTTGAAGATTATTACTCAAAACAAAATATTTTTAAAATTCAATTCTGACAAATTACACCACAAAATATATTTCATATGTTCCTTGTACCATTAAATGAAGCTTCAGGGAACAGCTCTAATGGTTCGAAAGCTTTGCCAAAGGAAGGTTTGACGCTTGATAGAAACTGATTTGATCCCAGTGTCAGGGCTGAAAGAATGCTCATATCCATGCATGTAGCGTATGATGTTTTAAACCTGTCACTGGTTACTTTGCATGTCATAGCTGTGCCCTCTGCACTTGTTATGCTAAAACGGGTCAAGATGTCTGGATTAGTCACCACACTAAATTTACACAGCACCTTTTTCACAGTGTCCTGTGCAAAAGAAGCAGTATATGTAATTTTACAAGAGCTAGAGCATTTTGCAGTAAGAATGAGGATCTTCTTCTTTGTCTAAAATCCATCCTCACCATCAAAACTATGTTTAACATTTTTTTTTTTTTTTACATAGCAGTATGGTATAATGTGTGTAGAGATATTTGGATACAATGTTCTACATTCATTTGGTTAACGGGGATATTTCTCAGGTTCGGCCAGAGGGATACGTCCATCCTGATGACATCTTCTATAAAGGATCCAGCAGAGCAGCTGGAGGAAGACAGGAGTCCTCCCAGGGAGCGAGCAGAGTCACGGTCAGTTTGTTAATGTGGAATGAGTGCTGATCTTAAAGGGTCAGGTTACCAAAAATATAACAAAAAAACGTCTTTATTCTCATTTACCTCGAATCTGTGTGGACCGGAATTAGATTTTTAGAGGGCTAAATCCGGACAAATACAACCAAAACTATCTGCATGGGTAGACCATTAGTGAAGAAATGTGTTTTTTTGGAATTTAGGTTGATCTCACCCTTTAAGTTAAAATAGGCTACAACATGGCCAGACAGATAACAGATTAATCCTAAACACGTTGTTGTTGAATTTCCTTTTATTCTGAAAGTTATTCAAGAACACTGTTATGTAATAACTGAAGTCCACTCTCTGATTTTAGCTCAGGACGCCATGCTGATGCCATCTTCACCAACAGTTACAGGAAAGTCCTGGGCCAAATCTCTGCCAGGAAGTTCCTTCAGACAATCATGGGCAAACGGCTGGGGTAGGTAGCACAAGAGAAATGATGTCTTTTCAATCGGTGTGTGTTGCCAGGTTTTTGAACCTTGTTACCAACGGAAATACACAATGAAACATGAATTGCTGATGTTTTTAACCCCCACAGAGATGAAAGTGAGAGCTATATGAAACGTCAATCAGATATCTATGAAGGGACCTATAAAGAAGATCTTACATCTATTCAGAGCAATCAGAGATACAGAGAAGTGCATGGGCATGTCATGAGGCCAAGGTAAATACCATAAGGCCTAACACTCAAATGAAAATATTCAGAAACACTAATCTGACTTTTCAAGCATGATGACATTTTAGTCTTTTACTAACCCGAGTCTTTCCTCTTTACAGACTGCTGAGTTGAGATTTGTTGGATCAGACAAACTGAAGGCTGCCAGCGCTCCTGGCCACTGCACTTTTCATAACCATCACCGCTTGCTTTCTTAAACTTCCTCCAACTCGTTCTTTACAGATGAAAATTATACTGTCATTTTTTTATTCCCATTAAATCTGTGAAGAAAAGCAACAGCCCAGCTCATGACTCTGGAAAAAACGGGCACTGAGAAACTTTAAGTTGTGCAATGTTTCTTTTACACTAATACTAGGATGTAACTTTTTGTTGAAGTGGTTTAATACCAATAAGAAATAATGGTATCAATTAAATTTTGAACGAGTTAATACTCATCTCAAAATCAGTGTGGTCGTGCTGCAGTCCGTGATAGATTTTCAATTTCCATTCCAAGCTACTTTATACATCACCTTTCAGAGAAAAACATTGCACTACATGTATTTGACAGCTCATACAGAAACATACAGAGCTAAATTAGAATAAGTTGCCTACTTTGCCTAATTAGTCACCCTGCCTTGAAAACACATGATCAGTTTATATAACTATGTATTTTATTAAACTGACCAATACTGTAAAGTATATAAAATTAGCTCCACCTCAAACAGATATATTAAAAAGTTGTTTAGACATTTATGCATCAGTAATAATTATCCAATTATGTATGTAATAGCGTAACACTCTGACATAATCAGTACTTGTACACGAATTTAGGTCAGACTAAACCTGGCTTCAAAAGTATTTCTTTGTACCATTAATTTCATCTAAACAAGTACTATCTTTATGTGCTATTTATTAAGAGTTTAACACTCAGCTAATCTGCTTCATCAGGACTTGTATGACCATGTTTAAAGTACCCACCCACAGCCATCAGATTCTGATTTTGTGGCTGAATCCTGATTGGTACACAGAAATGTGTGACGATCACTTTTTCCAGCTTAGGCCCGCCCACTTCAAGCCAGTAAAAATCACAGACAAAAATGCAGGAATCTCTCAACTTCGGTAGAAAAAGAATGTGAGCACGTTTGAACACATTGTCACTCACAGTAAGAAACTGATAAAATATGTTTTTCCACTTCAAGCTGGGCGTACAGTGTGAGGCTTAATTTTTCTCTCACTCTCACTTAGTTTTGTGGCACCTGTTTGGCTGGGACCCCTTACAGACCTCTTTCACTGAAGACATTTTGGATTAGTATAGCAGGAAAAGCACAAACATAATTGATAACATTAAAAATAAATAAATAAAATGACTGCATTCCATCTAGCTCGTGGGTCTTGGTACTGTGCATGCTGGCTCACTGCTGAAGGTGGATACACGTGATCAGTAGTTTACAGTGGCTAACATCTGCAGTTTGCTGACTTTATGATTTTTCTGACGCCATTATCCTGTAATTGTCACTGGTGGCCACAGTGGTCATTGTTTGGCATAGTTATGTTTCAGTGACATCACATAATTCTCTGCATTCCTCCACACAACTTCAGTTTCTAAGCAGAGGTCTAAACAGCCAGGATAAGTGTGGGTGTGCAGGGCCTTTAATACTTAAGATCAATCTTGAAAAGCAATGTGCCTGGTTCCAGTTTTTCACTAATAAAGACAAAGAAAATTAGATTCCCCTCAGATTCTTTATTTCCTCCTCTTCATTACAAAACATCAAATGCTCAAATTGCCCATATTTCATTATTAACAAGTTTTCTGGGGGATGCCAACTCTGTATCAAATAGAAGATTACCGCACCTCTGATGCAGCTAACAGGCAAACACATTGGCATAGTTAGTTTTTTTATCAGCTGAAATATGTCGCTTCTGTTACGAAGTGAAATGGACATTGAGTGACAGAGGAATGTACCAAAAAAAAAAAAAAAATGAAAAAAAAAGTAACGCACACATAAGAACCCACAATCCATCAAGAAAACCACAAATAAAAACTCACTTTGAAACCACTGGCATGTTGCACAATAAGAAAACAAATCTCACAGGAAGGTGAAGTGCAATGATCAGTAGCTTTACAGTCCCTCAGCAGGAGTTTCTGTCAGTGAGCGTTTGTCCTCGGAGACGCTGTGACATCTCGATGTCTTCCATTCCAAACACAAACTGCATGTTTAAACTATTGAACGGATTGTTGAAGTGCCACGCCATGTTTAAAGTCTGATTTTAGGCATCGCTGAATGACTCGTTGGAAACAAAAAAAAAAATTAAAAAAAATCTGCTTTGTCGGTTGTCTTCTTTTAATTTTCTTGCCCTTATTTTTTCTCAATTCTGTGGAAGAGAGGGGGGGGGGAAAGAGCAAACATTAGTTTGACAAAACACGAAAGGAATGAAAACCTTTGTGGCTCTTCGACAAGTCACGTTAAGGGTCGATCATGCATTTTAATGTGCAAGGACGCGGAGAGATTCTCATGACAAATTTCTAAGATCTGGACGATGCCTCACATGGCCCACGAACACAAAACATGTCACTCAAATGTAACGGCACAACCAGGACCATGGGTGTTACACCACAGTGGAGGAATTATCAAAATGCTGGTATGGCTATGGTTGTAATGACCATGGTGGGATGAATGAGAGGCAAACCAGGGGGAGGGGCGGCAAGTACAGGTGAACACTCGGAGTTAGAATGAGTGAGCACCACACAGCCATGCACACTGCAAGCCATTATGGGAATGCACTGTGGATGTGGTCTATGAGGATGCCCTTACTTCAGCCTGGAAGCACGGCCGACTCATTTGTTACAAATGGGGGTTTTATCGTAGACTTCTGTACTTTGCCAACCTACTACTTTGCTCTGCTGCAATCCTGAAAAAGGAGTAAGAGAGAGCGAAGTGTGGATAGAGTGGTTAAAGAGATACAAGTCACCAGCTGCAAGACAGAAACTGGCAGGAAAGACAGGAAAATGTCCGCACTGGGAAAATTACATTTGTGAAATCATTAATTGAAATTGCTTAAAATGGTTGAATTGGCTGTTGTAAGAGCAAGAAGTGAAAGTGAACAATTACAGTGACGTCAGTGACACGCGCTACAAACTGCTCGCTCTGGGCCTTTGAGGGCACTACATATTGATGGTGAAGAAATTGCCCACTTAGATCATCACTCTTGCAGATCTTGCTGCCACACTTCTCTCCTGGTCCAAGTAGACACGAGCACTCCTCCTGGCAGAGAGCTGATGAACTGAATTCTGCCTCTGGAGACCAACTGAGGAGCTACAGACCTGGAATAGGCACTTTTCCTCAGATTTAAGGCTAAGAACTACCAAGAGGCCTCAAAGCACACATGTCCTCGTTGTCTGAAAGACAAAAGCTTTCTCTCTAAGATTAAGGACTCTAGGGACCATATGTGCCAGGCACCATCAGGAGACGTACCTCTTCACTGCTTTCTGGGCCAGCATGCGGTTCCCAGCGAGGAAAGTTACACCACCGATAATCGCCAGGTACTTCAGAGTCTGGAACATGTCCAGATGGGTCCAGTAAACATACATGAGGCCCAGCATGGCTGAAATGAAACAACCGAGTAGGGTTTAACATTTAGATCCAAACAAAAAAATTTTTTATACACTATCAAGATACAATTTAATATAGCTGTATGTCAGTGGTTTACCCAAGTGGGTTGGGTGCTTGTAGGACGGACCATGGGTGCAGCCAGATTTATTTATTTTAAAAATCGTACATTTAATAATGTGTCAACCCATATTAAAAAACATTTTCATTAATACACTTCCACATTGCTTTTTTGACACTTTAAATCATATGCACATTTAAGATAGATGCGATATACAAACTGTGAAAGCACTATATTTAAAAACCCTTTAAAATATGCAGTTATACCACAGCTAAAAACGGTGACAAACTTGCTGGCTGCCACAGTAACGTAACAGGCTTTTTGGCACTCGAGTTTTCTAGGTACACAACAGTTGGCAGTAACAACTATCAGGGAAGACAGCAAATACATCAAAGTCCTTGGGCAAGATGTGAATGTTTAGTTCCTGTGTGTGAACGGGGTGAATGTTACTTTGAGCTAGGAAAAGCGCTAAGTACAGTATCATTTACAAGGGAATTAATACAGATTCAATTTATTACATGAAAAAAAAAAACACCATGAATGTTTGAAAAGTGTGGGAACCACTGCAGTTCGTTCTGTCTGCTACAGAAACAAACGATAAAAAGTGCAACGACAGCAAGTTCTTTGCTAATCTAAACACAGAGGCTTTTGGACTTTTAATGCACACATAAGACACAAACTATTTAAAATCAGAGGTGCTTTGGTGGAAGGTGAGGGTAAACAACTGTGTGTTTCCATCCAATCCAGATAATTTTTGCATATAGAAACCTGACTGGAAAAGCCAATTTTCCAGAGACTTGGTTAAAAAGCTTGCTAAAATTAGACCTCGGATCTTTTGAACTTGGCAGAGTTGTGGGTGGCGTTAGGGGGATATTTTATATTCTGAATTTGTGTGGAATTTCATGAATAATGCATCGCTGAAATTAATTATGATAATGTGTCACACACGTCCATTACTGCAATTCACTCATCACCTTGAACAATAGCAGATGAATAGTAGACGAAGAGGCTGTAAAACAATCACACCTGTGACAAACATTTCATTTCAAAGACTGGGACTCACCTGCGTGTCCTACATGGAACAGAATGCAGCTGGGAGAGAAGCTGAAGTTGGAAATGTTGGCTCCGAGCTTAAACCACTAGACGAGAAGGGGAATAAAAGACAATGTGATATTCATCCCCTGCAAGAGCTGCAAACAAAAGGGCTAAAAAACTGTTTACCACCTAACACACAATGAACTGATCCATTGCAACAATACCTATTACTCAGCCCTGCAAATGCCGGGGAGGGGGGGGGGGAGACACCATTGCTTTTGTGATTTCAAATTAAAACAAGCATTATATTCATGCAGTATTGGAGCCTCATTCACTGTGTACGAAGGCTTCCTACTGAAGAGCTTTTCTGGGAAATAAAAAAAGATGGACCACTGTGCATACAACAGCAACAAAGCTGAACGTTCCATTAAAAAAAAAGCGTTTGATTAATAAATGCAAGTATCTTAGTTTTAGGTATGCCTTTAAATACGATTAATAGTCTCTACCTAATTTGCATACACTAGTTGTTCCACAGTTAAGCTAATGGCAAAAAATAAAAACATGAGTGGAGCAGGAAACATTTTGCACAAAGTTGGCAATATTACCAGGATGAGCAGAAGCAGGAAGGGAGACAGGATGAGTGCAGTGAAGGTGTTGGAAACCACTGTGGGAGGCTTCTTCTCTGGTTCCCTGAATAAGTGCTGAAGAGAAAAGAGGAGACTTTAAACTGCTGGATTGATAGCTACTGCATGCTGCTTGATTTCCCACGCAGTAAATGTGATTACCTGGATCTCTGGTTTGGGTACGTAAAGAGTCTTGGGCTGAATGGTAGCTGGGGCCTCCTCATCCACAAACTTCAGAACAACATCAGCCTTTAAAAAAAAAAAAAAAAAGTACAACAGTTCAATATTAACTTCTCATTGGCTGAGCACTTCATCAGTAAATAATCCTCATTACCAACACCGGGGCTGAACGGACACTCACCACATTCCACAAGATGGGGTTCTCCAAGGTAGCATCCCCAACGATGAGGTAGAGGGAATAGGTACCAGAGATGGAGTCAAACTCTGATTTCCGCTCTGCTGTGTCCAGCTCAAACTTGTACAGATTTTTGCTGTCGGGTTCTGCCACAAACACAACCTCTTGGCCAGTTTTCTGATTGTGCAGCCGGACAAAAGTCTGCGACAGAGAAAATAAATTGGTCTTAATCTTAAACGAGACTGAGAGGTCAATTTTTCCTGGTGGTTTCCATGTGGTTGGATGATTGTTTCGGCCAACCACATGTGTAATAGAACGGTAGTATGGCTCTTTCTGCTGACGGCTGTTCATGTCCTATTCTCATTATATACCTGGTGAGGGATAAGCTCCACTCCAGTGTTGACGTCAACCAGCTGGAAGGACATAGCAAAGTTTTGGTGGCTGTCTGCCATGAAGGAGCTCTTTGCTTTCGAAGGATAGTCCACCCTGAGTCATTCAGAGAGAAAAAACATTAAGTACTCTATTCTCATGCAACTGAGGGTCAGAGAAAAGGGCTTCACTTATCAAACTTGTCCGCTTACCTGGTGGTCTTTGTGCCGATGCTCTGGTCCTTATCCACCACAGAGAGGTCCATGTTTGTGACGGCCACCTCGGTGGACACCTTTACTTTAAGCTACGGGTGGAGTCACAACACAAAGTTACATTAAATAAGAGCATGACGGTACAAAATTCAAAACAAAGAGAGACAACACTTATCGAGTACAGATTGAGTGCCTTTGACTCAACAACAGCGCATTTTCATTTGCATCAATTTCTCCACAAAGGCAATGAAAGGCAAAAACACTTGAACAGCATGACGACATGCATGAAAATGACCACGTAACCAGTGAACCACTGACCGCCACCTCACCTCAACGTGATTGGCTACCAGCCGGCTATCCCCTTTCACTGCAATGGTGAACTGGTAATATCCGCTGGCAGGCTGGCTGGACATGAAGTTCAGTTCAAAGACACCACTGAAAAGAAGGAAAAATGAATAATACAGTGCAATACTGATGAAAAAAATGTTTCACAAAACACCTTGAAACTGAGTGACAGGTAAAGTATGAACATCTTGTAAAAAAACGGAAAAATACTTAGTTAAACATAATCTACACTCAAAGAGATAAACAATTACATTTGCTATGTTATTTGCATGATCATTCAAACTGCATTCCTATAAACACTAGGAACATTTTGGCAGAAGATAAATCGATGAAGCCTCCATGCACATCAAAGGTAGTCACACCTTATATATGCTTTTTTTATACATGCAATTTTCTGATGGTAAAGTCTAAACTAAATTTATTGTACTTAGTTCCGAACAGATTCATTATCTAAAGATTTAGTTACTCTGGATGGCATCGCCCTGGCCTCGAGCACCACCGTGAGGAATCTCAGGGTCATCTTTGATCAGGACGTCTCCCACACTAAACACAATACTTCAAGGACGCCTTTTTTCACCCATGTAATATTGCGAAAATCAGGCATATCTTGTCTCAAAAATGAAGCGGAAAGACTAGTCACATTTGTTACTTCTAGGCTGGATTAGTGCAATTCCTTATTATCAGGCGGTTGAAGTCGCACGAACCAGGAAAATAAATCATATTTCTACTGTTTTAGCTTCTCTGCATTGGCTCTCTGTAAAATCCAGAAGGCGGCATCCTTCTGCTCACCTAAAAAGCTCTTAATGGTCAGGCACCATCTTATCTTAAAGAGCTCATAGTACCTTACTACCCCACCAGAGCACTGCGCTCCCAGAATGCAGGGTTACTTGTGGTTCCTAGAGTCTCCAAAAGTAGACTAGGAGCCAGAGCGTTCAGCTATCAAGCTCCTCTCCTGTGGAACCAGGTTCCAGTTTGGGTTCAGGAGGCAGACACCATCTCCACATTTAAGAGTAGGCTTAAGACTTTCCTCTTTGATAAAGCTTATAGTTAGGGCTGGCTCAGGTAGTCCTGAACCATCCCTTAGTTATGCTGCTATAGGCCTAGAGTGCCAGGAGACTTCCCATGATGCACTGATCGTCTCTCTCCTCCTCTACCGCTCTCTCTATATGCATTCTTATCATATTAATGCAAGTTACTAACACAACTTCTTCCCTCTCCTGTAGTTTTTGCTGTCTCATCTCTCTCCTTTCTCCTCCTGTCGCTTTCGGCAGGCGTTACTGCCTCTGGAGTTGGGAACTCCAGATCTGTGGTGGCAGGCTGCCTTTTAATTAATATTATTACCACTACCATGACTATTATTTTAAAGTGGGATAGGGGACGTTGGAGAACTAGCAAGAGCCAGCTAGATTTTTCAAGTATCCATCTGATAAAAGTCACCCCCCCCCCTTTCAGGCTAATGATTTATCAGATCGTAGTTGATCCGTGATCGGTATGCGCTGAGCAATGAGGTCATGATGAGAGTATATTTCTTCCAGCTTTCGAGATCATTTTAAAGCAGTGGGGAACATGGTTGATTATAACGTAAAGCTAACACTAATCTGTCTAATGCTACATACTCATTAAGTGTGAAAGGTGCTTGGCTGAGTATGATGCTCTTGGAGGCCACAGCGTATGCAGATTCTACCAGCACGTTGGCTGAGGCCAGAGGTTGAGACATGACATCAGTAACAAGGAGCTGTGAAACAGACAGAGAAACAGTGTTAGTACAAAATGTGATTAAAAAGCACGCAGAGGACTGCAGTCAGGTTGAGATGCGATATCTTTACCTGCAGGGTTGGCTGGCTGTGGGACACTGTGGCTGGGCCCTGAGCACTGACGATGACAGGCACATGGAAGCGGTTGTTGGAGAGAGCGGCGGCAGCACATGCCACACTGAAGGCCTCAGCCAGAGATTCCCAGGATTTCTTGCTGAAGATAGAGTTCACCAGCTGGATGACCTGGTCCTGAGGGGAGAACGCCTCTTCTATCAGTTTCAGAGAGAAAAACACATACAGAGAAAAGCCAAAACCTGAAATAAAACCCGAAACACAGAAGTCATACCTCCTTCAGGGGGGGCTCCATGTCCACGTGATCTGACAGGGAATAAGCAGCGGTCACAAACATGGCAGTTGCCTCAAGCCCCTCTTCAAACTGGAGGTAGATGCCACCGAGATCATCCAAACGAGCTGTCAGATCCTGAGAGGAAAAAAGCAAAACACGTGTTAAAAAAATAAAATCACTCCATCAGTAAGACTCCAATGTGTCTCGGTGGTGACACAGCACCACCTGGTGGAAGCTTAAAGAGCTCACCTCAATTTCTTCCAGTATTCCTCCAAGTTCTGCCTGCTGGGACAGGCGAGCTGCTGTCTGCAGCGCCAAAGTGATACTGTAGAGAACATACATTTGATGTTCATTAAATTGTTTAAATTATCTTGCTCATGGACACTGCAGGACCATCCACAGAGAATGGCCGACCTCCAGACTACCCCCCAACTAACACTTACGCCATAACATTGTCCTCCTTGTTGATGCGAGCTGTCAAGGCCCCTACAACTTCCTGGGAAGCCAGAGGAAGCCCCAGAGAGCTGAGTGCACCCACGGCCCGATGAATCTGAGTCATGGTCGAATCTTCGCTAACGGCCGCCAGGAGGATGTCACGGGTTTCATTGGACACAGGGATCTACGAAGTGAACAGTTTGGCACATAGGGGTTCTTATTACAGTGCAGTATTGTCCATTAGCCATGTCACTGTTCAGGTGAAACTAGTTTCCTTATATATTTATTCTACTATCATAGCGATCATATGAATGATTGTTATAACATCTTAACCATGAAGCAATTATGTGGCGTTCTACACATTTATCTACTCTAAATACAAAGAACATCAGTGGGTCAGATAAGGAGGCCAAGGCAATAACAATATTGTCATACTTCACATCCTGAAATGGCTTGACTGGTCTCAGCAGCAAAGAAGAGAGAGTCAACGCTGGTTGGATCAAGCTGGGATTTGAGGAACTGGCACACTTCCTACAAACAAAAGCACATTTTTAAGCGAGGATCAACCTTTCACTTCATATACTGTATATTATTCATTACATTTACTCATTCATTTATCTGACGCTTTTATCCAAAGCGACTTACAATTGCTATACATGTCAGAGGTCGCACGCCTCTGGAGCAACTAGGGGTTAAGTGTCTTGCTCAGGGACACAATGGTGGATGTCTCACAGTGGAAATCGAACCCAGGTCTCCCACACCAAATGCAAGCATCTTATCTATGCGCCATCACCACATCAGATAACTTGACACGAATAATCCGTCTCAGATATATATTATTAGCCGCATAATTGAGGGATTTTCTTACTTTGGGATCTGGAACAGTTCCTCCAAGCTTGGTCAGGCCAACAACAGAGTAGTATGCGGACTCCAGGTCGGTGAATTGTTGGGTCAGGAGGTTCTGCAATCGGGCCACATCAGCTAGGGAGAGGTAGTGCGCCGGTGTGAGCGCCTGAGCTCCGGAGAGAGCTAGGCTGAGGAGGAGCACACCGAACAGACCTGCGGACACGGAGCGGGGTTAACCTGGCTGCTCGAAATGCGTATTTACGCATTACCACCGAGGAGAGGAAATAATATTACATACTGATCCTTCACTATCTCTCGTGACGCTATGTATTCATTCATTGAGATAACGCTCGTCGTTCACTGCAGGTTTAGCTACGAGGCGAGCTAACTTAGCTATTAGGAAGCAACACACTGCATGCACCGTGTACTAGTTTTTGCACTACTTACAGAACTGGAAATTCCACATTAGCGTACAAAACGTACTACAGCGTACACAAATAACACGAAGAACATACATATCTAACGTTACATGTAACATTTCTGAAGTAATTCACTTACTAGACCGGTCCATGTCTTGCAGTCTAATGCAGCGTCACCAAAACCGACTATTGCTTCCGGTATCTCAGAGAGCGAGCTGTCACCACAGGTATAACATCCGGTTGTACAGTAGACATTTCAAAATAAAGGCCAACCACGACTCGACACATCCAGGCTATTATGTCCATTACAATTGTATACCCGATTTATTGCCTCATGTTAATTAGTAGGCATGTTTTATTTGATCATTTGATAAAATACAATTATAAAACACAATCTTCTACATGAGGGATTTTCTTGTCCTTTGACAGTACAGAAAAAGCAGGCGATGGATGATCAAAGCCTGAGACAACATCTACCATTTACTAAAATGGTGTGACAGAGTGCACTAACTCTCAGTCACCTGGGTTGAGCACATGTCATTTAGCTCAGCTGTTTTAATCAGGAATCCAGCTGAACAGAACCTGTTTTAAAACCACAACTATTCACATTTTAAATGACACGTTTACATTAGATATGCAGTGCAACTCTCGCTTTGTGTAGCGGCAAAATCAGGAGAAAGATGTGTATTAGACATATTTGTATTTTAATACATTTCTTTGAACAAATTTTTGTAAGATAAAGTAAAAACCTACACTAAATATTTACAAACAGTGCCAAACAACACAATTTCCTTGCCACCTGTACCTCCATTACATTTCAACTTACTTGCCTACTACATAAACAAAGTGTATTCATCACTTTGCTGGATCTCAAATTGTACCAAGCCACCTCTACAGAATACACAATTCAATTTCTGTCTACTATTCCTGGTGTGAGGTCCTCACTTTTAATGAGTATTGAAACGTATATAATAAATTTAGACACATGCACAAACAGATCTTACAACAAGACAATACACACATAACATTTTCAACATGGATCATCTCTAAATGCATTACTGATCAACCCGTCTGAATGTACTCCATATTCAAGTTATGCAACAGAACTCTACATACTGAGTGTTTGTACGCTTCACAACTTTTAAAAAAACTGTTTAATTACAGGCACATTATGCATTGTAAAACCATGTCTTTTCAGTGATAGCAAAACGGTATATAGCAGTGATTTTTCAATTCTACATTCATTGTTCTTTTCAAACACGTTTAAGTGGATTCTGAAGTGGGATTTACTTCCTCCCCACCAAGCTTTGCACTACACAATTGGAGTGACACTAAATCTAAAGGTACCCTTCTCTCTCAAATTATTGAAAGGACTGTATACTGTCAGTGTTTTGATAATATATATATATTTTTTTTTTTTCCAAAAACTGTACTAAACCTTCACATTACATGGTCTTTTCTCCATCTCAAATTACAACAGCAGAACGTAAGGGGGCAAAAACGGCAACATTAAGTTGTGTATGTGTAACAAGATGAGAGCTGTCTCAGGACAGAATCAGAGCCCGGCTGGGAGCGTAGGACTTTAGTGAGCGAAGGTAGCGTCGGGCTTTCTCAGTCATTATGAGCTGGTCTTTAGTTTGTCCACAAACAACGGTTTCCCATTCTTTTGACATCTGAAGAGAGAGGGAAAAACCCATCACAAATTAAATCAAAGCAGAAAAGCAGTCATAAAATACTTGATCCATTGATGTGAATATTCTTTCCTTTCAAGGTTAAAGATGGAACTTACTGGAACTGGGGGCACGGTGCTGGGAAATATGGCACTGTCACTAGGTCCCATCAGGAAGCCCTGGTCCAAAATACTTTCATGCCGCTTACTGTAAAATGACGAGGAGTTGAGAGGTTCTTCCTGTGGCCGAAAGAGGAGGACAAAAATAATTAGCATGCAGCAAATCTACAGACAGGCTATTAAGACATTTCTACACATTTTTTTTTTTTACCTTGATGCTGTTTTTGGCTTCAGTTTTGAGGGATGTGCGTTTGGATGTGGGCATCACCTGGCAGTCCATGACATCCAGGGCCAATGATTTCCTCACCTTCTTCATAGGAGGCCGATGCTGCGAATAACAAACAGAGACCTGTGTAAATAGCTTCTGTGGAGCTGCCTGCTGACCAAGTGTTATAACCTTTTCTCTTATTGAGGATGTCCACCCACCGCTTTCTAAAGTCATTCAACATTTTACCTGCAATCTCTATATTCTCAAAAACATCTATTCCTTGTCCATTTGGCCCTTTGAACTGAAAACATTTTGGCCTTGTGTTTTATGTATTCTTGGATCATACAGAAATGTTTCATCCAGTACTAATGTGTGTACATGTTATTGTTTACCTTTCTTACTCTCTAAGGATTAAAAATGATTAAAGTTGACTCATAGTTACCATGGTTTTACGTCGCTGCTCAGGCGGAGTCGAGCGTACAACAACCAAATCGATCCCACCGTCTCTTAGGATGACCTCGTTTATGTCGTCTTCAAGGTTCGGAGTCTGAGGCTAAGATTGCACAGCAGAAAAACAGCGTTAATGCAGTGTTGATAAAACCAAAACTGAAGTTCTTGCCTTTCACTGACAGTCACAGAGACTCACCAGTGGCCGCAGAGTACCATACTTCTCCATGGCGTTTTTAAACGGCGTTGGTGTTCGTGGGGTCGTACAGAGCTCGGACTTGTGGTTGGGTGTAACAAATCTATGTGAAAACAAAATGTGAACACTGAGACCCAAAATCAAATTCAAATCAGAGTCCCTTGTAGAATTTTATTTCACATTTGCAAGTAAATATAAAATAACTACAACTGATTATTTCTCTAGGGAAGGAGCACCTCGTCCCTGGTCCACTCGAGGTCATGCAGTGTGGAGTAAGGCTGCTCCATTATAGCAAAAATCATATTCACGGTTATTTTGGTCAATATTGACATTGCAATTATTTAAAATGATTACTCAGTGACTTGGGAAATTGTCATCCAATTGAACTTTTAAAATTGACTGACTCATTCATTTTGAATTATTATATATGCATTACACCAAAATCCCAAATAGCACATGAAATTAGAAATAGCAAACCAACGATATTAACTTTAAACAGCGCAAGAAGAGCAGGTGAACTACTCGAGGTGACGACAACTCTTTACATTATGCTGAAATTCAACCATGGATATTTTAAAAGCATGGACAAGGAAAAGCAACACTGAACACACCTGGTTTAATATCAATAATATGTTATTTCTATGAGTAGAGGAAATGTCCACTGGCTGCTAGGCTCATTTCTGCAGTGGGATTTACAAGACAAAATGTGTGTCAGCACGCGGTATCACAATAATCCTTTCATCTTGATTGACTTTTTATTTATTTTTTATAAAATTGTAATTGAGATTAAAGTTTGATTAATTGCACAGCCCTAGTGGAGAGTGATGAGTCTTTTCTCTCACAAACTATATCTGACTAAATACAGACACAGAAAACAGCCAAACCTTTCGTTTTAAATGTTAATTGGCTGCAGCAAACGAGGATCCTACTGTCATTATGCCGCCATTGCTCTTCGCTAATAGAAAAATAGTTGGGGGAGAAAGGAGATTTGATGAGAGCGAGCTTGATGAATGGAGCCAACTGAAAAATGAACCGCTAGACCACTCACGCTGAGTTTTCCTTCTGAATGAGGGGGGTCTTGTCACGCTGCAGCGGTGTAGTAACGAGCGCTTTCTGGCTGCACACTGGCGTGGATGTGAGGGAAGGGTTCTCCAGGTCATGGGTGTCCTGCTTTGTCCACATGTTGAGGAACTGGAACAACACGTGTTAGTGGACTATCTCATAGGAAATTATGATCAGAACCAACATCAGAGCTACAGCATTATTTAACTTACTTGAGATGGAGAAAAGGGCAAGATTTTCACTGGCGTGCTTTTGGGAGTCATGGATTTACTGGCATCAGGAGACAAGGCGATGCGTCTCCGACTCCGGCGATTTAGTATGGTGGGGGGCGTGATACCTCCAGGGGAGATGGGGATGAGCTCCCCCTTGTTGCCTTTGCTCAACTCCTGCAAGGCGCTGCCCTCCAGACGAAACTGGTGGCGCTCTGGGCTCGGACTATCGTCAGGCAGGTCAAAGGCTGCAAGGTTGCACCAACCATCGAGGTCCTGGTAGCACAAGAGTCATAGTACTTGTTGGTTGGACATCTGCTCTGATATATCACAATCAAACAATCACGATGCCGGCTCAACACTGAGTTGTCCGTCCGCCATCGCCGGTGGACGATGGCATCGTCTATCGGTCCAACCCTAGTGCAGGAAGTTCTGAACATGAGCAGAACGTTTGCTAAAAGAGTGAGGGAGAAAGTCCAGGAGTTTATAAATAAATTTTTAGAAAAAGTCTCATTAAGGTGAAAAAGTGCAACTGTCACATTTAAAGAGGTTACTTCCCCAAACAAGACACTAAAAAGGGGTGAAGACTAAATCATGCCTGCATGTGTGCTGACTCAGCAGGGATGATATTACATGAAAATAATTGATCAGCAGGAGAAACAGATCTGAAAGCAGCACAGAATGACAGAGCTGCACTGCATTAGATTATTTTATATTTTGAATTTTGTGTTTCCCTTCACATAAATAAAAATGTTTCCACCATAAGTTGTTGCAGAAAAGGCATAAAGTGGCGCAAAAGAAATCATCAGAATGCAGGAAATTAAGTGTTTAATGGTCAAAACTTTCATATAATTTGGCACTGAAGATTTCTTAAAAATAGTGTTAAACTCTCTCATCTTGATCTCATGAACCCAGTATCATGTCTCGTCTCTGAGCTCAAAGCGTCACTTTGTGTTGAAAAGCGGTGGGGACACAGATTAGGGGTGTAATGAAACACTGGCGTGACAAGACATGAAGATGCACAAGAACACTATTTTGAAGAAATACGAAATATGTGAATTATGCAAATATATGCATTCTAGGGACATTTTCTTCTCCATATTACAGTGGAAATGTCTTTTTTTATATAAATGGAAGTAGCAGGTGACAATTCATAATAAAATATATAAGGAAATATAATGCAGTAATTAGCAGCTTGGTTTTTCCTTTTAGCTTAAGTTACTTTTTTTGGACAATGCACCTTTCTTTCTTCTATATTTAAATTGTATTCCATGTTTTTTAATTGTATAAATAAACTTTCCGCAAAGCATTTTGATTTGTTAGTTAATATTTCTTGGTGCAAGCAAATTTTCGGCTTTCAAAAAGTGATGAGGACAAAATCAGCCATTTCAAAATGTGGTGGGGACATGTGACACCTATGGTTAAGTGTATTGTCACACCCCTAATATAAAGAAAAAAAGAAAAGAAAATATAAGGCTTTACAGTTAACTTAATAAAACATAAAATAGTTCATGATCACTAGTAATAAGTAGCTCACATATGGTTTATAAAGGTACAATGATATATGACCAAAAATGTATCCTTATAATCACGTTTTCTTTTCAACAGCACTATTTGTTATTGGCAGAAAAAAAAGCAGGATTGATATTTAAATAACATGCTCTGTGGTGTGTGGTTGGTTATTGGGGACACCTACCCCATCCACCATATCCAGCACTTCCTTCAGGGCTGGCCCGGTAGGTGAGAGAAAGCCGGAGCTGTCCACCACCCAGCTGGAACAGTTCATTTCTCCTGTGGCGTCTGCGTCCGTCCTGGGGCTTAAACTGTCTTTTGGAGAGGCCCCGGCCTTTGATGGCCCCGGAGCAGCAGGGCATTCAAAGACCTCAGCTTTAACAGAGACAGGCGCTTCCTTCAACTGGCGGGAAAAAGTAGACATCTGGGACATTACTAACATTTAAAGACGTGATTACTGTTGTGTTACACAAAGATCCTTTCCGTCCGCTGACAGATTAAATGATTTAAAGCCACACTGCACTTAAATGTTGACATTTTACAAATCAAAGCGATTGCTCACTTACGGAAGAATTTGTTTTCTGCTCTGGGTCCTTGTCTGCACCATCTTGTGAAGAACTGGGCATCTATGTAATCAGAAAACAGAATTTTCAGTACAGTTCAATACTGCATCCATCTTAGAGGAGAGCATTATAGAAAGATAGCGCACCTGCTCATCCTTATTAACACAGGCCAACAACTCTTCAAGTTCATTCGGCCTCAAGACCTCCCCAGCATAGAAGCCCATTTCTAACTTGCGTTTGATAGTCGAGTTCCAGTGGTTCTTCACTGCATTATCTGTCCTGTGAATAAATATTGTAACATGAGTCCTTCGGAGAAGGAAAGGGTTTATTTCTGCACACAAAGCCATATCAGCCATTTCAGACTGACCACAGCACTGATAGAGTGTATTTACCTTCCAGGGAGCAGCTTGGCGATCTCAGCCCAGCGGTTTCCAAGCAGGCAGTGAGCCTTGTAGATAATGAGGTCCTCCTCGGCAGTCCAGGATGACTTCTTCACATTAGGATTGAGGTGGTTGTGCCAGCGCTCTCTACACTGCTTCCCTAGTCTGCCCTTCAGATGCTTGGCAACCATCGCCCACTGTTTGTTGCCGTAGAGATTCACAAGCTCAATAACCTGAGGAATGAGGGGCACGCATCTGAATAAGAACTCACTCTGACTCATCACGCTGTTCATTAAACCCCTGCACTGCTAGCTAACAAGACACCTACCTTCTCATCCTCCTCTTTGGTCCAAGGACCTTTAATCAATTCTGGATCCAAGACCTTGAACCAACGGTGCTGACACTGGTGTTCAGTGTGACTCTAAGTAAAACAAAACAGGCATAATAAGATTTTAAACACTGAATGAGATTTTTATTGACATAAAATGGTCAAAGAGCCTAGTATAACCAACAAAATGTTAATCAAACTCACTGGTATTAAACTGGCGATATATTTCCAGTCGCTTGGTCCCAGTTTTTGAACCAATGCCTTCAGCTTGTCATCCTATAAACATAAAGAAAAAAAGCATGTTGATGTTCCCTCTTCTACAGAGCTGTTATTTACTTTGACAGGTTCAGAAGTCAGTGAGAGAACATGCAAACGACAAGTCATGACAATCACCTCTTCTTGAGTCCATTTCACCTTCACTTTCCCACCGTCTCTCTGTTCTGACACATCAGAGTCCGTGTCTTGATGCATGGCCTCCTCTCCATCCTCACTGAGAAACAAACAGCTGTGATGAGCAGGAATACAGCTGACAGTGAACGCAGAAACTTGCCACTGACCCGCCCTTGTGGTGTGGTGGGGCGAGGAGAACTTGATTGTCAGGCTGCGATTTAGCACAGTGTAACTCTTTTTTTGGTAAAAGGCCGCTTCACTGGCAGACAGATTTATTTGATCGCTGCGAGCCAATAGAAATAACGTCGGCTGTTAAATTCAATATTGAAACGCGTTTAACTTTATCGTGATTCTCCGGAAAAGGGCGGCCCAGACGAGTCCGTGAAGTAATCACAAGTTACAAGATTAGGTCATAAAGCAATCCTTTTACCTTAGCTAACTGAATGTCATTTTAAACTGTCACATTTGTAGCAACGTTAACTCCAGTCTGTGACAAAATAAGTATCGCTATCGCTGCTGTTAATTCCACTCAGATAACAAAGATCAACATCTTACCCGCGCGGCCACCAAGACATTTCCCTCTGTTTCTGTTGTTTACGGGCAGACGGTGATTTGTCCTCCTCCCTTTGCACGTCATGTGCATGTGTATCTGGTGTTTTCTCGTCGTATTCCGCGTGTGTATTATTTTTAGGAAGGGACCTGTGGCGGTGGAGGCTCGGTGCTGTTGGGTTGAACAGTTTGGTTGCAGCTTGTAACCAGCTGGAGCGATGCGCCAGGGTTGTCCGCGCTCCTGGATTTCTATCTCGCGCCCTTCTCGATCGTAGAAACCGGATAGTGACGTAGCTGCGCGTTAGATATGCGCCTGGGATCGAGCAGTCGGCTGAACAACTTCCGGTAGGGGCTTCAAAATAAGTGCTTGTCGTAAGTCTGCGGTCCAAATCTAACAAAAATGTTCTAATACCAAACCGCGTTATGTTCCTAGACTGTATGGCTATCATTTTAAAATACAGTGACAAACTAAATCGTCTATATTCTCTCCCCTTTAATTATCATGTAAAAATGCGGTAAATTCAAAATATTTTGTGGCAAAATAATTAAAAGCGCAAAAACAAAACAACAATTATAATAGTGTAATGGTTTAAAACTATTAACCTCAGTCTCCCATATATTAAGATGGTTTTTTAGAGGTGATCAAACTACCAAAAAAATGTACTGGCAATCACCTAAGTCAATTATTAATCAAAAATATTACATTTCTCTGATTCCAGCTTCTAAAATGTTAAGATTTGCTGCTCTTCTATGTCATTAGTTTCGGCCTTGTGATGGGTATTTTTGACGATTTTATTATATCTATAAACATTAAATGATTCACTGGAATAAAAAATCTCAATACATCGATAATGTAAATTATGCCGGAGCCCCAGTTTATTTTTGTCGACAAGGAGGTGCTCAGAAATAACAAGTAACAACAAAAATGATTAAAAAGACATATACACATGATAGAAATAACATTTACATTTTTAATAAACATATATAAAAAACAGAAAGTGATCATGACTGAAATGTCTCTCAGGCTGTATACTCCCCCACCTATGCCAGACTGATGACCTGTTCAGGCTACAGCTGGGTCAATTAACAGCTTCAAGAGTTTAAAACCCACCTGGAGCTCAGTTGACACTCATTGGCCCAAGGAAACAATGGAGAAATCGTTTGTTGTTAAAGGTAATTAAACTGATTTACGCTCAAGCTTGTTATATTTATTGAAGTCTGATCAGTTTATGTGATTGTGTCACATTTTATCTCCTAGATATGAAAAGCTTTGAGTGTTCCTCTCCATCGGAGCTTGACAGGAAGTTTTTGGTGGAAAACAGTTTGCTGTCTGCTGTTTTGTCACCAGAACAACTGCCCACATCAAGAGCATCAAATGAAACGGTGGCTGAAGGATCTGACCCCAAACTGTCCACCCTATCTTCTCTCTACCTGTCATCGGAGGCCATTTCTCCGTCTCTGAGCTTTTCATATAACAAAGAAATTGACAACTATCGCCTGGCTGTGCCTTTACAGGGAAAGTCCTCCACTCCCCACATGTTTCTTCAAAAGCAAAAAAAGCCTGCTTGTTTTGACCAGTCATACAGCGATCTCTCTGCCTCTCAGATGTCATGGGAGGTTTCTTTGATAAGACCGGACAGCAACAGCCCCAGATCCTGCATGGAGTCCAGCGCTTTGGAGCAAGCATGGAGTCCAAATACCCCGACTACACAACATCCATTACCTGAAGTTTCTCCCTGACGTGGCCAAGAATGTCTACACACACTTAATATCGATGATTGTGACTGCTTCTGCACCCACACACATCAAGGATAAATTTAAAGTGGATTCTAAAATGCTGCATGTAAATGTGAAGGTAAAATGTTTGTATGCTGAGAGCTCCATATGCTTTTAAATAATAAAGATTTTAATTTAAAAAAATGTATTTGCTTAAGTGTATTTTTACATCTCCCCCCCACAATGAAACGCAATATAGAAATGTATAAAATAACTTTTATGCAGTTTCTAAACAGCATCATGCATGGTCTATTGTAACAATGCTTGACTAAAGAATATACTCCGATGTGCTTTGTCATGGTACATGTTTCATGAATCCAATCGCAGTGGAGTGAATCGTGTCTCTGTGTCGACGTCATGTTCCTGCAAGGAAGAAATCCATTGTTCGATCAGGCAGTTTGTGCATAATATCTTTCTTCAGAGTTTTAAGGGTCTCTCACCTGATTGAGTTTCTTGAACTCCACAACCTGGAAGAAAATGTGCTCCAAGATGTGCTTGGCATCCCTCTGATCTTTATCTAACTTTGGAGTCACCCCCAGAATTTCACCACATTTCCGCACATAGAATTCAAGATCATCGTCTGTACCTATAAAGAGAACCGGTTTAATAAAATAACAGAAGTACCTCCTAACAATCCTAACCAGTTCATTTTGCTTAGGAAACTTGCATTTGTTGGTGAGCTGCGCAAGGCGCACTTTCTCAGAAGAGAACGTTTCATCCAGATCAAACAGGTCCAGCATAGGTGGAGGTAAATCACTTAAGGCAGGTGGAAAGACCTAAAAGACAAGACAATACCCACTTCTGGGATCAATCCTGTGGGGCTTAAAGCAAAATGTTTATTGAATGACATCTCAGTTGCACATGGACAGGAATGCATGACTGAAACTTACAGCAGGTTGAAGTTTAGGCAGAGGCGTCTCAAACTGTGGTGTGATCAGCTGAAGTTGCTCGTCTTTGACATTAAGCTGCTTGTAAGCACTGCAGAAAACATTTTATTGTTCTTTAGCTATGAAGAGAAGAACAGTGAGGCGAGGGAGAGTGGCACAGTCAGGTGTACTTTGCTTTCTCACCTGATGACTTGGGGTAACGTGTCAGTTGACAGATTGAACAAAGACGTATCAAAGAGAGAGGTAAAGTCCTTGGGGTTTTCATCCCCCTCTTGTAGACACACTCTGAGCTGTTCTGACAGGCAGCCTGCATCCGGCAACATGGTGTAATCTGTGATCTAGGGGACAAAGGACAAGACCTATGTTGGCTTATTTAAAAGACTATGGCTGCGTTTCATTAGTCGCTCAACATGCCCTTGTTGACTTCCCCATGGCGCATGCCCTTGGAGGAAATCCTACCGCCATTATAAGTGTTGTTCCGTTAATCTGAGTTCAACCCTTGGAGGGATGAGGGAGCGAGTCAACAAAAAGGCTGCGGTCGAAAAGTCTTTTATGCTTAGGAAGGTTCCTAACTGGGTGAAGTGACCCGGAAATATTTCAGTGGCAGCCATGATAAGAGCTGGTCGAATTCTCTAAAAGCTAAGGAAAGGTGCTTCAGTGCTTCCTATCTTCTCTCCTGTAGCATAGGGTTCAACGGGCAATCCTTTACGAAAGGAAAGGAGATAATGCCGTCCCACAATTCCTTGCGGCAGCAACATTTAAAGCAACGCTCGTTCTCAAACCATGAAATCCATTGACCACATTTAGCAAAATCCTTGCAATACATGACGGACAGGAATGCCTGGAAATTTCTTTCTTTACTGGATCGATCGATACTGGAATAAGCCATTTGCTGTAATCCGATACTGTTTCAACACACTTTTATGTTTTGGATTGTTGAAATATGCCATAAAGTGTTGTATTTGAATATTCTACAATAAAAAAAAAAAAAAAAAGACATAACTGACCATGTAAGCTACCATTTGCCATTAAGCCTTTTCTCCCTTATGCCATAACTTGTTAATATGCATATATCTTGAACTGTCAACAATTACTGAGAGCTATACCCGAGGTATGTTACTAGTCTTGTAAAATGATGAAGTGAGGATATTGTTGCAGCGTATAAGCTCACGTTATGCTTAGTTTGCATTAGTTATTTTGGCCAATGTATTGTCAGCCTTCAGCAATATCTTAAATTTATTTTACTTCAGTCAGAGATGCTGATACCCTTGCCTTAATAAAGGCAAGGATCAAGCTGGATAACCTCTACAGTAAATGTAATGTATTATTTATATACAATTATTGGGATTCATTTTTGATAAATATGTGTGGGCAGGAGGGTGAGTGTGTCCACCTTTAGATGGCCTGCATTAAAACAACATGAGGCGCAGTGTCAAAGAAGAGCTTTTTGTAGTCCATCTCCGGAACATTGTAGTTTTATCACGGCGGGTCACGTCAGTAACATCCGCCGTCGCATAATTAGGTCACCTAGAAAAGAGCAGTCGGATTCTGTGAGCCTCGCGGTCCTCTTTTCCTAAGTCCTTATCGATTCTCATTCACATCTTTCCTTGACGTCATGACGTTTTCCATCGAGGTCAAGGAAAAGTGGTTAGGAAAGGACTTTTTTTTTTACTTTTCGACCGCAGCCTAAGAGTCACTCCAGAGATGAATATCACCCACAATGTGTTGCAGTTAAATTTATGGTCCAAGAAAATACATCCATGGTTAGGTGGCAGTAATGTAGTCTACATAAAACCAGTTGCTTACCACAAAAGAGGAGAAATAAATTGAGCAAGGTAAGTTTTACAATGAATACTTACTGCAGTGCCTAAAATATAATTTAATATTCAAGATTCTTGTATTGTTCAGTTTCTGATTTCTTTATTCCCAACATTATCTGTAAACGTTTGGTAAAATTGCTGTTTTGTAAGATAATCATGACATAGATCACAAATCAGAAACAGATGCAGCTAATTACAAAGTGCCAAAGTATTGCGATTATCCGTATACCTTCGCCTTACACTTAGACATGAGCCTGCAGGTATTTCTGATGATTTATAAAAAGCAGTATAGCGCTTAGCCTACAAGTGGCGGTCGTGTTACTTTGGGCTGAAAGTGTACAAGGGCACGTGCGTTCCATTTAAATGCCCCGCTCCTCCCCCACCTACTTTTACTCTGCTAAGTGGCCTCCGTGTGACAGACGCTGTTACAGAAAGGCTGTGGGGAAGAGTAACTATTAACACAGCTTATTACCATTATTGATTCTCCACTCAAGTATACTTCCTCACCTCTGGGTCTTCTGCATCAATCTGATTTAGCTGAATATTATCGGTCATGAGCCACTGGAGCACAACATCCTGAAATGAAAAGTACGACAGACTGTTATGCACAACATCTGACGATTCACAAATTCCACAGGAGAGCAGAATACTCTTCGACCCTTCTCATGTATTAGTTGACAAAAAAAAAATCTGTAAACGTCCACTGGACTCACCATGATTTTACTGTTCTCCTCTTTGTCTATGTATTGGTCACTGAACATGTGGCAGGAACCCAACACTGCCAGTTTGCCTGCCTCCTTCGTAAGACATAAGACATCTTTCAAAATCACCTCCCAAGTGTACATTCATAATATTAGGTACTTTATGGTCTGGGAAGGGGTATGGAAACTACATTGTGCCTCTTACCTTTCCTTGATGGAAGGCCAGGACAGGCCTGTTGAGGGGAAAGCAGACTGAGCCAGTTGAAAGAACAGCTACAGCAGGCTTCATCACACTCAGTGTGGCACCATATGGGTACACAAATGTGAGAGCCCTACACAAATAAAGACAGAAAAGCTTGCATTCAAAACCTCTCTTAAACACTAAATGCAGTACTTCATGTAGAAGATAAGAATATAAAAGTAATTCATTTACTGTGCATTGTTTCCAACATTTTCTTCTTCAATGATTCCTGTGACCACTTTCCCAGCAGCCCGACTAATCTCTCTATATACAAGAAAATGACAGTGATGTGCATCAGCTTACAAATGTATAAAAGAGTGGTACATTTATTACAAGTAAATTTTTATACCTATATAGCCTACTAACACTCTGGGACTGACTGGAATATACAGTATGAAACGGGTGTGTTTGTGTGAGAAAAACCATATGCCGTAAAGACAAACCTGTTCAACACACCATTGGACACAAGCGCCTCCTTAGGATGGAAGTATTTGTAATACACATTCCGGACAACAGCATCTGCAGCAGTGATGGAGACAGAAGAAAAGAAACAGACGCCACAGAATTCAATACAATTCACAAAATAACCTATAACCTGTAGATGATGTCAACTGTCATTTCAACAAATTCCAATATGCACCGTTGTTGACCATTATTCCAAACTCCTCCAAAAGAAAGTTGATATTGGTCTCATATTTCATTTCCCCTCCTTCACCAAGCATGACCAGAACATTTCCTGCTCCATCCAGGTAGTGCTTCAGTACCTCCAGCTGAAAGAAAACGGGAAGAGTGTGAAAACCTGAGTTCAGAATTTAAAACAGCATATTAAAAGGTGTAGCTGGTAAGCTTGCCATTTCTATCATCTCCCATTCCCAGAGCTGTCGTATGGAAATAACAAAAAACTTTTTACTAGGAAACAGCCTTTTCCCTCTTTTGATACCTCGGATGCTGTGAACTTCTCCCTCGGGCCTGCAGTTATCCACAACTTGACACCCTTCAGCTTCTCCAAAGACAGCTCTTCCTTCATGCTAGGGGAGGCAGCATTCTTTTAGCAAATATGGGTTTTCTCAAAATGACAGAAAAACTATTGAAAATGTAGTAGTTCAAGGTACCGTACACCTTTAACACCTTACCTCTGGATTTTCCATTGAGCTCTTAATCTTTTCTGCATGGATTTGTATCCATTGTTAGTAGTAAACAGCTCTCTTTTTGAAAAATTGAAGACGACAGTGTTGTGCTGTTCCTTGTCCATTCTTTATTAAAGTACCACACTGAAGTCGGCTCTTATTAGAATCCATACACCTAGCAGAAAGTTAGATCCCGTATGTTATTCACAATGAACTGACCTTAATACATTATTACTATCTTAGCTAAATATGAATTGAGTTGGGAAGGTATGCAGAGGCCATTCCCGAGAGTAATTAATCAATATTAACTTGCTAATACTGCAGTAGTTGGCAACAGTTAGCAAACATAGCTATGCGGCTAACTATATGTTTATCCAGTGTATAACGTTACGTTACTCATGTAGCGTTAGCTAATAGCTCGGCGTCGTTACCTCAACGTTTGAGGTTTAACATTACTTCTTCTCTTTTCTGAACTACTCAAGTGATCACAAAGAGCTATGGTAACTATTCACCTCTTACCCTGTGTTATCGTATATTATTATATTCGGTCTATGATATTAACAGGTTAACGTTGCCAAAGTTACCTCACAAGCTCTCCTAGCAGTGATGCATGATGGGAAGGAAGTGGTAACCAAGGGCGCTAATCACATAACAACCAAGCATGGACTAAATAGTGCAGCAGTCTGTCAAAATAAGTAGAGTGGGAGGAAATTTCACATAAGAATCGAACTTTTTATCTTCTACGATTCTAAATCGATGCCGACTGTACTAATCGACTTCAGTAAAAACGTTGAGTTAGTTAATAACGGAACGAAAAGCCCGGAACTCAATTGCAAGGGCAGACCCGGACGGTGTAACTACGCGCACATAGTAGAGTAATGTTTTCTTCAAAAAAAAAAAAAAGTCAAGTGCTTGGCCACATTTAGAATTTAACGATATAGCGTATCGTTACCTATGCAAGACAAAGGTTAAGTATTTTGTGAATACTTCGCTAACACCTCCACCACCTACAGCGTAGCGGACTAACAGATAAACTGACGGACCAGCAGACACGGCAGCACTTCACGACGGCTTTCCCACAGCTGGAGACAACAACACAGTGGAGCACTCTGCCTTTTCCCTTTCCCCTTACTCCAAAAGACGCAAAGCTAAAAGAAGTGCCATAAATAACAAGTATCTACACATTGCTCCTTTTGCCATCTGAGCTAGCGTTAACGTTATATCTTGCGATAATACCTGTTACTAGATTACTTACCTTTAGCCCTCTTTTTGGAGCATCCTGTCACCAAGCAGTGGTCCAATGGAAACTATTTTGATTCCCAGTTTGCCTAATTTTATGAATAAAACAGCTAATGTCCCGAGGCGTGCTCACTCTATCAAAGGTTAAACCGTTTCTCCCAGTAGCTGTGAACTGGCTGCAGTGGCTGCAATGTTTTCCTTTACGGCCATTGTGCCCGGCAAAATTACATCCACTGACAGACTCAGACTGGCAACTGTCTAACAACATCATGGAAAGGTTCCCTGTGAGTGACTCACGGTGACACCCTTTGTTTTCCCAGGATCAATTCTCACTCTGAAACCTCATGAGAGGCGAGTTGTTGCAGGAAGACGGTGGAAACAGGGGCCAGAGTTGATGAGAGGAGTTCATTTTATTGCAGTTCCTCTACGTACACAACAAACTCCTCTCCCTCATTTCCATCAGCGTTGTGAAATATGTGAAAATAGTGCCTCTGTATACAATTACCAAAATTGTCCTTTCATTTTTTAATAGACAATTCTACATCAGCCAGTGGCCAGCATACAGAGAGCCCTATTTACTCCACTGACTTCCATTTCCTCTATATGAAGATTTACTTATTCTATGGAAATATAAGGACAAATAACAAAATCTGTACACCCTGTGCATAGATTTCTGCAAACATGTCCTTCCATCACTATCCATGTCCCACCTAAGGGTATATTTAAAACACTGCTCATCCTTGTTGATTTTTTTTTTTGCTATTTTGTCTGCTCTCTCATTCCCTTTTATACCCACATGAGTGGGCACCCAGCAGAATCTCACAACCCTCCAAAACTTTCTAAAATTCTAAAAGCTTTGATGGATTTCTAGCATTAAATCCTCTCTATTAGATTTCATATTTTGAATAAGAGGCTTTGGAAACAGCCAAATAGGGATATTACTAATAGGAGTAGAGGTCAACAGGTATTCTCTAATCAATCTTCCTCTTATTTAGCCTTTGTTACCTAGCCATATTCCCAGCATTCCCGAATAACACTATTGGCATGATTTTCATAACCACATCCTTGTAGTATGTTAACACAACCTGGTTTCCTTAGTCGGTGTTCATCTCATTGCACCAGCCATTGGCCTCATCAGAGCCCTCTAAATATAGGCTGCATCAGTGATTCTTTATCTGCTGCCCAGTCTGTCCCAACCACTGCTCTCAGTAAGTTTATACCATTTTGACTCCACATTCACTTTTGGTCTAACCACATACCCAGATATTAAAAGAATTAAAAATGTACTGTTTCCATATTGTGGCCATATAACTTCAGGTTCTGTTTGTCTATCCCTTATCCCTATCCCTCAGACTTACTTGGAGAAAGCTTTGAGCCCAAATTATACAGCCATTGTTTGTACTTTTCATATTGCTTCCTTGATTTTACTTCTCACCCTTGTGGAATCTCATCGTCTTGCCCAGATGGCCCCATAGTCTGCATACAGAGCTGACGCAATCCTTCTGTCCAGATTCATGAAAATATCATCAATCATAACATTGAGTAAAACTGGCCTTGTGGATTTACATTAGTAATTTCAAATTCCTCAGATACTGATTCCACTTTAACTCTAAATCCTCTTTCTGAAGAAAAAAAAGATCTAAGACCCAATTATAGAACCTACATCTAATTCCCATATTGTTCAATTTAATTAATAACCCCTCCCTCCACCTGGAGTTGTAAGCCTTTTCAATATCAAAGAACACAATACTCCTTAAATCTTGCATTTTAAACGTTTTCTCTATGTCATTGCTTACTTTCACAACAGCATCCATTGTAGAACGCCCTTTCCTGAACCCACTTTGATATCGTGCAAATAATTCTCAATGTCCAAGGATGCGATTAAGTCTCCTTAATATCTTCTCCAACCACTTGCATGGTGGGATGTTAGGACGATGGGTCTATAGTTGCCAGCATGACTAGGATCCAGTTTCCAGGTTTATTCAATGGCAATATTAAAGCAGTCTTCCAACTATTTGGCATTTTACCTTCGTCCTATATCTTATTAAATAAGTGCATTATTATATCTAACACTTTTTGAGCTGATTTCTGGATCAGGACATAGCTCAAATGATCTTCTCTTGTAGTAGTATTTCTAATTCTACTTAAAACTATCACTAGTTCATTCATGTTCATTTCTGCATCCACGGTGCTTTCCTCTTTCACAGCCTACATAGACCAGTGGAAAGACTTTCGTTGGGCCCACAATAAGATAACACGTGTCATCTAACAAATAACAAGCATTCATCCATTAAAACCTTTTTGTTCACATTTATTGATTAGAAATAAATTAATTTTTGCATTAATAAAACAATCGTTTTTTTTTCTGGTCATTTTATGTCTTAAATTAAGTTACAATTGATATGATTAGAGTTAAAAAAACAAAACAAAATGAAAACCTTGGACATGTGCTTATAGTTTGCTGGGCTCTGTGACTGGTTTCACTCTGAGGACACCCTCCTGGGAACACGAGGCAGCCAGCACCCCGTCTCTTCTCCACAGTCGGCCTTGAACCAGTCCCCTGCTGCCCCCTGTGGGACAACACAAACTACATGTTACATGATACATTGTCTTGACAATTTTTAAGTAATAGGCGGTTCTACTGTACATAAGAATAATAACTTGAACATTTTTTTAAAAAGTTACATATAATTGACAGCTATGGGCAAATTTACCCGTCGGCAGTTCTGACACCTGACAACGATACTGACATTTAAAAGTCATCCCACTGGTCAGGGATAAAAAAGGTGAGAAGGATACGCAAGCTGAGAAACACACAGAGACAGTGTAAGAGGGGTCTGTTTTTAAGCTTACATGTTGTATAGATAACGTGCATTCGTCTACTGCAACAAGAGAAGGATACCGACACGCAAGGGCGCCCCTTTGTGTTGAAAAGTAGCAGGGACATAAGGGCTCAGATTGGGGGGGTGACGATACACTTACGAGACGTGGCGATGCAGCATACTGGTGTCACAAGAATGAGATGTGATGATAAATTAACAGTATTTAATAGAAATCATCAAAGCTGAAATATATGAGTTGGGGGGTCTGGGTGTCCTCCCCCAGAAAATTTTGAGCATTAAACACTTCCTGCATTCTGGTGACATTTCCTGTTCTGCCTTACCTGCATCAATTTATGATGAAAAGGTTTTTATTTACGTAAAGGGAAACACAAAAGTCAGGTGTCAGGTGATCCTGTAGATCAACTTTTCTCATGTAATATCACCCCTGCTGAATTAGCACACACGCAGGCATGATTTAGTCTTCCCTCCTCTTTTGTCTTGTTCACAGGGAGAGAACAGAAAATGTGGCCAAATAGAAATTGTCACAAGAAGTTAAAGTTACTGACTGGTGCTGCGTGTTTTGGGGTCATTTTATAAATCAGTAGCTTGTTTATTCTTACTTAAAAATGCTTTCATTGGTTCTTTGCCATTTCATGTTGCAAGCTATTTTTCATAAGTGACGGGGACATGTCCCCAGTTTAAATAACACAGATGCCGACACGTTTCATCCTGCTGGGTTGTCGCCAGTTGTAAACTTCGCAACATTACTGTATCTGACAGGACAGTTCACATTGTAAGCTAGCTTTCTTCTGTCTTACATCAGGCTAGCTTTCCGCCGGACAGCTCATTCGGCAGTGTTCAGCTGTCAGAATCCGCAGTGTAGCGAAAAAGACCCGCCCTACGCTGCCTCTGATTGGCTGTTGGGTTGAGGCATAAGGAGTGACGATTTGTTAGGCAGAGTCAGTTGTAAAGTTGCAAAGCTCATGCTAGAGAAGAGAGGACTCGGTAAATAAAACGTGTAGGCCTATTTTCTGTCAAAAGCAGAACTTAGAACCGAGACCTTACAGGTACTTATACAGTTGGTTCAGGTTGGGGTTATGGGTATTTAAGTTCCTATAGTGGAAAAGGCCTATTTGTGGTGCTGTGACAGACAGAACAAATTAAGTACAGCAGACAGGAAGTTGACAACATACTGACCTGCCCACGGGCTCTCACACTCATACAACATCCATTCATCACTGCGGAAAGTGTTGTGGAACCACATGGCGTGGTCCAGGGATGCTAGGAACTTGGCCCTGTAGTCGGGATAAGGCAGCAAAGCTGTGCCCAGGAATGCAAAGTCTGATACATAAGCAGCCACACAGCAATGCAGCTTCATGTTGCCTTCACCTACACAAACACAAAGAAAATGCATAAACAAATGCTGCCTAGCTTAAACTATACATGTTATATTGTTAAAATGTTCTGCTATTTTCACATTGCATATCTTTATGATGTTTGCCTGATATTGATATTATTTGCTGCTTAATTTAAAACATAACTATTTGATCTATTACTATATCCTGAGTATCCTACGGTAGTGTGCAAAAATTTGGGCACCCCTAATCAAAACGCCCTTTACAATTAATATTTAAAGGGAAACCATTACCGTTAACTGATCGAGGAGCAGTGGATGCTATATTAGATACAACTTGCCAGTCCCGGGTTGTTGCCTTCAGAACTGCCTTCATTCTTAGTTGCATATTTTCAACAAGGTGTTGGATTCCTCAGAGACTTTGGTCCATACTGACATGATAGCATCACGCAGTTGCTGTTCTGCATATCTTGGCTGTAACGACTGGCTGCCGTGTGATTGGCTAATTAGCTATTTGTGTTAACAAGCAATTGAACAAGTGTACATACTAAAGTGGCCGATGAGTTTATACCCAAAGCTTAGGACACAAACCATGTGTTTTGTCAGTTTTTCCATTTTGTCCTGTTGTTTTGAGTAGTAGTGTCCTGTTGGGAAGTTGAGTGTCTTCCCATTTAGCACTAATTCGTATTTAGGCCTATGCTGCGTATTTGTGTTGCTGCCTTTATCAAGTGGTATTCATGCTACATAGGACAACAATACAACATACTTTAAACAAAAAAAGACCTACAGGGCAGAGCTGCAAAATAAAACCTTCCTCTGACCTCAATGCAAAATGAAGCATTTGAAGTATGCAAAAGAAAACCTTCAGCAGCATGAAACCTTTTGCAACAATGTACTTTGGACTAACAAGACCAAAAGGGAACTTTTTGGTCACAACCAAAGATGGTGAGGTGTGACCAAACATGCCAACTGTTGAGCATGGAGGTGGATCTGTTATGCTTTGGGGTTATGTGGCAACTGGGGGCACAGGAAGAATGGATTACAACAAATATCAAGTCATTTTAGTGACTATGTTCAAAGGTCAGTCCAGACAGTGAAGTTTGAGGAGAGGTTGGGTATTTCAGCAAGACAATGAGCCAAACCATTCCTCACAATCAAGTAGGATTAAGGTTTGGGGAATGGCCACCACTGTTGACAAGGAATATTTCTGAGCTAAAGCCCAGGCGTTATGGTGGAAAATTCCAAAAGCAAGAATTGAAAGACTCTTAGCTCGCTACAGGAAGTGTTTGCAAGCTGTTAAAGTCGCCCAAGGTGGCGACACAAAGTACTAACTGGGGTTCCCAAAGTTTTGCACAGGGTCTTTTTCCTGTTTTATTATTTAGAAACTATAACAAAACAAAAGGTAATTTTGCTTTATAATTTGAGGAAATGTTTGGTGTGTAACTTTGTATCATTTAAAAGGTCAGGTTAGCTCCAGTTCACTTAACTTACATTTTGCACTCCACTGTACATGCTTTTCAATACTTGTAATATATGTAATGCAAATTCTACATACAGTGGGTACGGAAAGTATTCAGACCCCTTTAAATTTTTCACTCTTTGTTTCATTGCAGCCATTTTCCAAAAATCAAAAAAGTTCATTTTATTTCTCAGTAATGTAACTCAGCACCCCATCTTGACAGAAAAAAACAGAAATGTAGAAATTTTTGCAAATTTATTAAAAAAGAAAAACTGAAATATCACATGGTCATAAGTATTCAGACCCT